CAAAAAGGTAAGCTTATTGCAGTTTTGTTTCCTTGGGGGGTATGTCATGTATTTCGAGGGTAGGTGCTGATATACCTGTGCATAGGCCTTACATATGAAGTATGTTTCAGGGTACCCCAAGGGTACGTGCTTAGACAGCACCACCGACATGTAGGGGGGGGCCCAGCTCTTCGGCTGTCTGTGCTCGCCTTTCCCAGTTGCTGCCCTTTGTCTCTCATGTGCTTTGTTTTTCGTTTGTGTTTTCTCCGAAAACGGCCGTGTCCACACTGACTAGCAAAGTTATACTGTTCGTTGCGAGGTGAACCCTTCAGCCCTTGCAGAGAAACTGGCAAGCTCCTCGTAAAGTAGCCTAGGTCTTCCAGTAGTGCCGTTTTACCCTTTTTTTGGGGGACGGTTCCCCTACAAAAATAGACTACAGAAAAAAAGGGGTGCCCTTATTCTAACCTCTCGACTGGAGGACCTAGTAGCAGAGTCCAAGCAATCGCCGGGGATTTTGACGAACCCAGCAGTTGCCGGAGGCTGCTGCTGCAATGGCGTTCTTCGCGTATGAGGCGCGCTACTCCCGGACCTGGCGGGACGATTCCTTGTTCCATGTGTGTGGTGCCAAAGAGTGGATGGGATTTTTGAATTGTCCAGTCCCCCCTTTTGAACACCCGGCATTTTGGGGGAAGGGGTGTTCCCCTCTAAAATCAACTACCGAGCAGGCTCCCTTTCTTGTTCCGCGGCTGAGGCTTTCGATGCTCTCTCCTCTCTGGAGGAATTCCCGAGAATAACCAAGGAAACCAATCTGGAGTGATCCTAACCTGGAGTTTGAGAAGCACCCAGTTGAAGATTGCCTTCGTGTTGGTCCAATTCAGGTCCAGTTTCGAAGCTTGGATCTTGTATGTCAAAGCCTCTTGGATCAAAATCAGACAATGTGCACCCGCTCTCATGTCGATGTCTTGAACCATGTCAGCGTGTTGCAGGGTTGGACCACTCTACGCCAGATTTCATGGCTCTTGTTCACCCTTGTTTGCGCAGGATTCCTAGATTTTCTTATTTGGTGGTACTAAACATGACCTTGTTGGCCCGTCAACGGTGAGTTTCCCTCGGAGGTGATGGAACTCTGTTGCCACATCCCAGCCCTTCAAATCCGATCCCAACATGAGGAGTCCCTTACCCAACAGAAACCGATCCGCATGTGGTGTCCATGTGTTTGCTTGTTTGGTTGGTGTGGTTGGTTTTTCTGTTGGCTTTGTTTAGTTTGTTCCTTCGCTGTGTGTTTGTTGGAATCTTTCAGGTTTGCTTAAAGGGAAACCGCAACAACACCTACCAATTTGTTTTATTTGTTTATTTGGGAGGGGGGCTCCCCGACGTTTATCACATACATACCCACATTTAATTTGGGCAAACACCTCTCATTCCGCGTGGGGTTGCCGCACGGCTTCATGCTTCCTTGCCCCAGAACGGCGCCGCCGCATCGCTGCTTGGCTGCTCTCTACTGGAGGACCTAGTTGCAGTTTGTTTAGGATGAGAAAGGGGGTCACACCAAATCCAACTTTCAGCCAAAACTCTGACGAAGAACAACCCAAGGGATTGGCTTTTTTGGCAGTTTATTGGCCTGACAAATGGAACAGTGGACTAAAACCTGCGGTCTAGACATCTCTGAAACCTTGAGCCACGCCCGAATCAGAGTTGAAGCTTGTAATGCTTAATCGGTTGACTGAGCTTGCCGGTTCGATATGGGACCTATATACTGAACCATCAAACTGGTGGTTTCCTTGCGTAAAGGGATCCCAACCGGTTCAAGAAATGAACATGAGCTGCCACTAAAAGGGTCGGAACAAGGGAAATGTATTGGAGTGGAATAGGGCCCAACACCCCCAACATGAAGGCGATCCAATTTTTCACATAAGGGTTTTGGCGGCTGCTCACATGTTGTGATTCACTAGCAGCCAGCAAGATACGGCTCGGACATTTTGAATTGAATGGGCACCTGGCACTCCGACAACAGATACAATATGTGTTTGCTTGATTTAAGGCCTTTGTGGTGAAATTCAAGGAATCAACATCCTCGACAAATGTAGGGTTTTTGTTTGACCAGCATGCTGGTCGATTCCGGCTTAGGCAGAATCCACTCATTGACGCGAAGTCTACCGAATTCTTCCAGATCCTGAAGTGCGCCTTGGCATTTTCGTGCTATGAGGTCTGATCTGTTAGAACCCTCGTAGTAAATGTCCTGAGCCAAACTTACGTATCGTGGATGGCCTCCATTTTTCATGTTGTTTTTAGTATCGTCCTTGGTATTGACTCGGGATGAATCCAGTTAGCACATTTGGGCCTTGAGCTTCTTGTTTCAAATTTGTGGCTGAAAAGCGCAAAAGGCTTAGAACATAATTCCAATAGGAGGAAGTAGACATTTTCAAAGTGGCAAGATACACCTAAAATGCCTGAATTTATGCATGTGCACGCGTGCTCGTTTCCCTCGCGCTGCAAGACACCAGATTGATGAGTGGTTTGACTGGCGGTGCCCCATGCACTTGAAGTCAAAGGGTCAATTCATGTGAAGTATCTCCCATGTGTCATCCTAAAAATGCGCCTCGCGGTTTGAGGGGCTTCCCGTTGATTTCGCCTTGGGCGGCCATGCCAAGGCTTCACGGAAGCCTTCGAGCAGTGTGTTCGCACCTCAGGATCGAGTCATGAGTCATGCGAGGCTCGGGTCGAACTTGTGGGAGGCATGTCTTCTTGGCGGAACAAGTCATTTTCTTGCTGGTGCGATAGGTGGGGAATGGCCTTCATGGTGTTGGGAATGAACCGGAAGGGATTCCCGAAGAAAGGAAACCACAAGGGATGGTTTGCAGGGGTCATGCCCTCATTCCCTGCTGAGAACCAGCAAGTTTTGACCGTGGCTTCTGATTCATGAACCGCTCCAATCTCAGAGGGTTTCTATTCCCACGCTGGACATTTTATGTATATACCCTTCCTGGAACATCTATATTGTATGGTTGTTATGTACCCGATTGATTTCCGTTGGGTAGTGGTCTGAGGGTAGCACAATCGATCCTGAGTAGTGTTATAGCACTTGTGGTATACGGGGACTCTGAACGGTGCGATTATGACTCGAATTAGACTTTTGCAGTTGGCAGAGTTGGCAGAGTCCCATCTGAGGGCCGAACTCAAACTGGCAGCTTTTCTTTTGCAATGTTGGGGCCTTGCCCACACCAGAATTCGAAAAGAATGCCTGAGTTTGACACATCTCCGGATATCCTTTTGAGAAGGATTTGAAGCTTTTTCCAAGGGTTAAAGCACCTGGGTACAAGTCCTTTTATGTAGGGAACCATGACATACCATGACCATGGCCAAAACATGTTTTCACCACATGAGCTTCGCGTGAGGCCCAGGATTTGTGGAAGTCCCCGTCCTTGGCACGCCAATGTCATGGTGGCATCGCTCAGTGAAATCAACCTCGACTGATTGCATCGGAGCTCCAAGGGCTGTGCGCGGAAAAACACGGCTCACCGATTTCGGGTGTACGAGAACGAAGATCCATAATACAGCTCCCAAAACGATCGAAGACCTCTCAATCGATAGGTGGAGTTAGCACACTGGAAAGTTTTGCAGGAAATGAGTCATAATCAAAACCTGGTGTTAAAATGGTTAGGAAGGTGGACAATCCGTAGATATGGCCATGAATCTTGGGGAACCTCCAAGGTTGTTGGTGGACAAAAATATCTCACCTAAATGATGTCCAAGGGTCCCCCATTAAGATTCACCAGGGTAAATGTGGGTATACTCATTCCCAAAGATTGTCTGGGAAGGTCTCTGACTTGGGGGATTCCAACGATGTCCAGCTTGGGAAGTATAGTTACTCCCTCGTTTCAGTGAAGCCTAAGCTGGCCACAGTTTCTGGAAGTTTCCCTTTTGGCGCGACATTTGGGAACCCAGGTTCCTACAAAGACTAGGAGGTTCGGTTCGCCAATTTGCCCATGTTCTCTTGGAGGAAGCTCAACTGCCTTCATCGCCATCTTCGTAAAACCATGGTAACACCAAATTGCAAGGGGTGTTTGTCGCTGCTCGCCTAAGCTCTGGTTAAATCGTGGACACTGGACCCGAGTGTTTCCTTCGAGAAACCAACATAAGGAAGTCTTAAGGATGCCAGATCCACCAAGCCTGCAAAATGCGAAGTATGGGCCTCCGTGGAGGGTTCCCTTTCAGGTAGGTTCACGAAGGACACAAACAGAAGCAAAATAAGGCAACCTTTATCGGTCCCGGCATTTTGACACATACCATACAGCCATGTAAATATTATTATTATTATTATTATTATTATTATTATTATTATTATTATTATTATTATTATTATTATTATTATTATTATTATTATTATTACTATTACTATTACTATTACTATTGTTATATTATTATTATTATTATCATTATTATTATTATTATTATTATTGTTATTATTATTACTATTACTATTACTATTACTATTGTTATTATTATTATTATTAGTATTATTATTATTATACATACATATTATTTCGGGGGTGTTAAGAGGGGGGGGCAAATGCATATATGCATATACAGGATGTTGACAGGGGCTTGCATGCGAGTGGAGCTCCGACCAGAGCGCGAGTCAAGTTGAGCTCCGGTGAGCGAGGCTTTGTAGTTGCTACGTGCATGTGGGTCGAGAATTCAGATCTGCCTGCTAGAGCGGGGGCTCTTTGCAGGTTGCACAGGAGCAAACACGTTGAAGATGATTTGATTGAATATATATATATATATATATTTCTAGACCTGACACGAAAGTTAGGCCCTGGGGGGGGGGGGGGGGGTGACCCTCAAGGCTTTTGAGATAGGTCATACAAGTCAACTGCAAGCAACGGATAGTGCATATTGTTGCAAGGTCGACTGCAATGACTTGAATTTATATGTTTGAGCTGGAGCAGTTGAACATTGCGTTGAACCACATGAATGACTTCTTATCAGCACTACAACATCTTACTGATAGTAACAAGGGGCAATGGCAACACGAGCTCACCCATGGATTCATTGCCCTCATTTCCCAATTTGGGCAACATCGTAGTTTGCCCAGATCAGGATCTGGCAGGCTGCATTGCCGAGGGGAAGATGTGCAGTGCATTTTGCTCCGCTCCTGTGTGCGAGTTCTGCTGGGACATCCGCACCAGTCATTGGCTGAACAGCCTACGCGTGCCAAGATCCAGCTTATTTGCAGAACCTTCCATGACTCGCCTGCGAAATGTTATTCCCCCCCCCTGCAAATCAGCGCAGAGCGATGATCTTGAGGTTCCATGTTCTAGTAAACTTCTGAAAATATGCTGAACAACTGTCAAATCAGGTCAGATTCGCAAGGACGAGAGATGGATGGCTGAAGCTTAAAATCTAGCCCTCCTTTCAGATGAGCCGTTTTCTGTGAAGCAATGGTTGAATGCGGCGTTTTGTCCTTGGCATGCAGATGCATTTGAACCTGCTGTTTTTGCCCGAGCGATTGCCGGCCCGATCGCTGCAATGAAGCTCAGCCGTGAACACTGGAAGACCCTTCAAGATAGGTGGGTCTTTCTTTGGGGCCAAAGGGAAACCAGGCAAATAGGGGGTCCAATTCCTATTTTGAGTACCCAAATGGGTGCCCAAATGGTTAGTGGACGTAAATCCCCATGATGTCAACCCAGGGGTTTCCAATCAACGATGTCCTCTCGTGGACCCCTTAATCCGGTTTCAAGAATGATATTGCAATATGCAAAGGTGCATTTGCTTGCCGGGATGCATCGCATTGTGAGGCAGGCTTGCCCGCTTGCATGATGGGCTTGCAAGCAAAATGAGCCGTTGCTGTCAAGGTGTGTGCCTCTTTCACAAGTTAAGTTACCATTTGTTCAACAGTCATGGCTAGGTCCCCCGGTAGTGCCCTTTTACCAGCTTTTTTTGGGGAGGGTTCCCCTACTAAAATAGACTACGGAAAAAAGGGTACCCTTATTAGAACCTCTCTACTGGAGGACCTAGATGGTCTTAAAAAGGCCTCTTGTACACTTCCATTGGAAAACGCGTAGATGGCCGGCACGCCCTAAAAGCTGCTTTTTGGACAGTACTTGGGATGTTGGACATGGGAACAACAACAGTTGTTGGGGGTTGCTGAGTGGCTTTCTCTCAACAGTACACGTTCATGGCAGAAATCATCCAGCTCCACCTTCCTCAAGTTGGCACCCTTCAAGGCTTACAACATATCCGCAGGTGCATGCCCGAAAACCATCAGTTTGTCCAAGCATTGCAGAAAACACCCAAGAAAACCACTACGCACAGTTGATAGCTGCGTTGCACGTTTGATTGCTTCCTTGCTATCAGCAGCAACCCCTGGCGTAAAGCATTCCGTTCCGCGGGGTTCCGCAATTCCCCCCGTTGCAATGCACCAGTGACCTGTGGGCTCAGTTGTGAGCTTCCTTCTGCTTGAGTGAGCTGATGCTTCAAGCGGAAACATAGAGAACCCTGTCTTGGCAACACCCAAGGGTCACTGCGAAGGAGCGCGGAGATGGAGCAAGAGAACGGTCCTGGCTGGAGGCCGGCGGAACTAGTAGACTAGGTCCCTCAGTGGTGCCCTTTTGCCCTTTTTTTGGGGAGGGTTCCCCTACTAAAATAGACTACGGAAAAAGCCACCCTTAGTCCAACCTCTCTACTGGAGGAGCTAGTAGAAATTGCACAGGCCTGGTTGAAGTCGGCTCGACAAGGGTTGCTTGGGAATGGTCTCAACCCAAACCTGTACCATTCCCTGTGTTTTTGCCACAGTCGTCCGGCCTTGCGCAGCCCTCATTGGTTTTGTCGAAGAAGGGGAATCTGTGAGCGGGTCGCTGTTTGACTGACAGAGCTGAGATGAGAGAGCGATAGCAAGGATACGGGGTGGCCCTCTTGACGCGAATGACAATCAGGGGGTTGAACCTACAAACCAACCTGAACCACAACTTAGAAGGTATCTGACCAAAAAGCTGCAACTTCAAGCTAAGCTGTTAAAATGGATGACCTCCGTTCAGTTTTCACTTAAAACCAAGCGGAAAACGATACCCTTATAAAAAGCGGCACACACACCCAACCCAACAGAGGCTAGTTTTAGCAGACCCAGTGGATCATTTGCCTGTATAGTAGGTAATCAAGGGAACCACCCTTTAAAAACCCAAGAGCCATGCTGATTACCCACCTTGGGCTTCCATTTGGCTGGTTACCCACCGTTCCGGGCTTCTTTGGGGATTCGCTGGGTGACCTTTGCGGGGCCCGTCAGTTGGAAAACACGAGACTCGCCTCCCGCCACTCGCTCCCAGGATCTGGGCTTCCGAACACAGGACGTAGCGTCGGCGCTGGCCGAGGCGCTGATTGCTCATTGAGCCTCCCAGCCGGCAATGAATATGCCGTTTTCACATGGAACCTCACGTTCCAGTGCACATTCTCTCTCTCTCTCTGCCAGTTGTCCATCGACCCTGGCAAAAAACAAGCAATACCCTCCCCCCAAGAAACATGGAACCTCACATTCGGGACCCGATCCCTTCAAAAAAAAAATGGTCCAAACCAGCAACCCGCACACGTCAGGTGCCATGTGAAAAAGGTGAGAGGGTACCTGCCTAGTTGGTGGCACAGCCTCCTCCAAGACCCGACAAGTGCCCAGCCACCAGTTGATTGCAACGTTTTTGGCTATTTGGTCATGGATCTCTACTAGGTCCCCCAGCTAGGTGCCGTTTTACCGTTTCTTTTTTGGGGGAGGGTTCTCCTACTAAAATAGACTACAGAAAAAAAGGGTACCCTCTCTACTGGAGGACCAAGTTTCGACTTTTTTTTTAACTTTTTGGTTGGCATCAACTGTTTTCCGCGGTGAAGCCAGAAAAGCTACTCATAGATTTGCAGAGGGGTGGCAACCATGAGAACGACCCTTTAAAAATAAAGGAAAATGGCTCAGAACCTATTCTGGTGGTACTGATAACTGGGATGCTTGTTCAGCTCAGGGTGGGAAGTTTCTGAGAGTTCCCTGAGGTTATTTGATGTTCCTTTGTTCAGCTCTGGTGAGGATTTGGATGTCTTTTGGACGGAGCCCCTTTCACCTTGGTTTGAAGGGAAGCCACAAGGACCACCACCATTTTGGGGGGGTCCTCTTTTTGCCACAAATCCAGTTGTTGCCACCCCCCTTTAGAAGGGGCAGGGGAATTCCTGAAAAGGGGGAGCTAGGGTTTGATTCGTCGATTAAGACCTCCTTGTTGGAAGAAACGCTCAAGCCGTTTCAGCTTCCTCTTGATTGGTGGGTTGGGTGGTGAACTGGTTGGTCATAGTGGGTAAATGGCCCTATGTTTTAAGGCTGCAGGAGAGCCCTGGCGAGAGCTCAACTGGAGGGACCTTAAGTTTAAAGAAACAATCACTCGCATCGTCGTTCAAGTGTTCAATGGCTTTGGCCGGGAAGAAGGGGTTCTTTTAAAATCAGGCACCGGAGAGGTGTTGTTTTTTGCCCTGGCCACTGGCACTTTCCCAACTTCCTGAGAGGCAACCCTGATCTTACTTGAATTAGAAACATGCCTGCCCATGTCCAGCGAGAACCAGCCAAGTGTCCTGAAATCTGTCTAGCCCGGTGTTTACCTTTTCACTTCCTGTTTATGAGTCTTTGTGAAATGACGGGGACCTCCTCATTGACACCGTTTTTGCCTTTTGCCTTTTGGGTTCCTTCGATTTCCCTTGCAAGCAAGAGTCGATCGTGACAAGTCTTTTTCCCATCCCTTTAGGACTCCTTCACATAAACCAGGGTTCCTGTTGATTTCGCTCGCTTTAAACCAAAGGATAGCCTCAAAAAGACAAACAAACGCAAAGGTTTCCAAAAAACCTCAAGAAACCACACCCTCAAGAAAGACACCCTATTGGAGGAATGATGAGGGCCGCCCTAAGTGGGCTATAGCCAGGCTTGCTAACCACTTACAAAAGTACCTTGACCCTTGAAGTTGCCTCAGAAAGACGTCCATTTGGCCATGGGTCAGAACCTATGCCTCTATTTTGGGGCGGATGAACACCCACGTACCACCTATTTTGATGTTAACCAGGGGTGCAGGGTTTTTGGGGTAGGTGCACCACCCATTTTAGTCTATTTTACTGGGGATCGGGATATTCACTGGGGGCTCACCGTGGTTTTGACCCATAGCCATATCTTCCACTTGCTTCAGGCGATGTTTTTTGTTTTACCCTGGAAACCCCAAGGGAATCTATCACTGGATATGTTGTCCAGTGGACTCAGCGGGAAGCTGGCGGGTCAAAGAAAAGCACTGCTGCGCGCAGGCGCAAGGAGATGAGGACGAGGCCCTCGCCGCTTTGAAGCGCCGAAGCCTGAGAACTCGAATTGTCACGGCTGTTTGCTTACTTGCTTGTTTGCTTGTTTGTTTGTTTGTGTGCTTGTTTTTCTTGTTTGCTTGTTTGTTTGTTTGTTTGTGTGTTTGTTTGTTTGTTTGTTTGTTTGTTTGCGTGCTTGCTTGTTTGTTTGTTTGTTTGTGTGTTTGTTTGTTTGTTTGTTTGTTTGTTTGTTTGCTTGTTTGTTTGTTTGTGTGCTTGTTTTCTTGTTTGCTTGTTTGTTTGTTTGTTTGTGTGTTTGTTTGTTTGTTTGTTTGTTTGTTTTTGCGTGCTTGCTTGTTTGTTTGTTTGTTTGTGTGTTTGTTTGTTTGTTTGTTTTTGTTTGTTTGCTTGTTTGTTTGTTTGTGTGTTTTTTTCTTGTTTGCTTGTTTGTTTGTTTGTTTGTGTGTTTGTTTGTTTGTTTGTTTGTTTGTTTGCGTGCTTGCTTGTTTGTTTGTTTGTTTGTTTGTTTGTTTGTTTGTTTGTTTGTTTGTTTGCTTGTTTGTTTGTTTGTGTGCTTGTTTTCTTGTTTGCTTGTTTGTTTGTTTGTTTGTGTGTTTGTTTGTTTGTTTGTTTGTTTGTTTGCGTGCTTGCTTGTTTGTTTGTTTGTTTGTTTGTTTGTTTGTTTGTTTGTTTGCTTGCTTGTTTGTTTGTTTGTGTGCTTGTTTTTCTTGTTTGCTTGTTTGTTTGTTTGTGTGTGTTTGTTTGTTTGTTTGTTTGTTTGTTTGCGTGCTTGCTTGTTTGTTTGTTTGTTTGTTTGTTTGTTTGTTTGTTTGTTTGTTTGCTTGTTTGTTTGTTTGTGTGCTTGTTTTTCTTGTTTGCTTGTTTGTTTGTTTGTTTGTGTGTTTGTTTGTTTGTTTGTTTGTTTGTTTTTGCGTGCTTGCTTGTTTGTTTGTTTGTTTGTTTGTTTGTTTGTTTGTTTGTTTGCTTGTTTGTTTGTTTGTGTGCTTGTTTTCTTGTTTGCTTGTTTGTTTGTTTGTTTGTGTGTTTGTTTGTTTGTTTGTTTGTTTGTTTGCGTGCTTGCTTGTTTGTTTGTTTGTTTGTTTGTTTGTTTGTTTGTTTGTTTGTTTGTTTGCTTGTTTGTTTGTTTGTGCTTGTTTTTCTTGTTTGCTTGTTTGTTTGTTTGTTGTGTGTTTGTGTGTTTGTTTGTTTGTTTGTTTGTTTGTTTGTTTGTTTGTTTGTTTGTTTGTTTGTTTGTTTGCGTGCTTGCTTGTTTGTTTGTTTGTTTGTTTGTTTGTTTGTTTGTTTGTTTGTTTGTTTGCTTGTTTGTTTTGTTTGTGTGCTTGTTTTTTTGTTGCTTGTTTGTTTGTTTGTTTGTGTGTTTGTTTGTGTGTTTGTTTGTTTGTTTGTTTGTTTGTTTGTTTGTTTGTTTGTTTGTTTGTTTGTTTGTTTGTTTGCGTTTGCTTGTTTGTTTGTTTGTTTGTTTGTTTGTTTGTTTGTTTGTTTGTTTGCTTGTTTGTTTGTTTGTGTGCTTGTTTTCTTGTTTGCTTGTTTGTTTGTTTGTTTGTGTGTTTGTTTGTGTGTTTTCCGTTTGTTTGTTTGTTTGTTTGTTTGTTGTGTTTGTTTGTTTGTTTGTTGCTTGTTGTTTGTTTGTTTGTTGTTTGTTTGTTTGTTTGTTTGTTTGTTTGTTTGCTTGTTTGTTTGTTTGTGTGCTTGTTTTTCTTGTTTGCTTGTTTGTTTGTTTGTTTGTGTGTTTGTTTGTGTGTTTGTTTGTTTGTTTGTTTGTTTGTTTGTTTGTTTGCGTGCTTGCTTGTTTGTTTGTTTGTTTGTTTGTTTGTTTGTTTGTTTGTGTGCTTTGTTTGTTTGCTTGTTTGTTTGTTTGTGTGCTTGTTTTTCTTGTTTGCTGTTTGTTTGTTTGTTTGTGTGTTTGTTTGTGTGTTTGTTTGTTTGTTTGTTTGTTTGTTTGTTTGTTTGTTTTGCGTGCTTGCTTGTTTGTTTGTTTGTTTGTTTGTTTGTTTGTTTGTTTGTGTGCTTTGTTTGTTTGTTTTTGTTTGTTTGTTTGTTTGTTTGTTTGTTTGTTTGTTTGTTTGTTTGTTTTTTGATTGCTTGCTTGCTTGTTTGTTTGTTTGTTTGTTTGTGTGCTTGTTTGTTTGTTTGTTTGTTTGTTTGTTTGTTTGTTTGTTTGTTTGTTTGTTTGTTTGTTTGTTTGTTTGTTTGTTGTGCTTGTTTTTCTTGTTTGCTTGTTTGTTTGTTTGTTTGTGTGTTTGTTTGTGTGTTTGTTTGTTTGTTTGTTTGTTTGTTTGTTTGTTTGTTTGCGTGCTTGCTTGTTTGTTTGTTTGTTTGTTTGTTTGTTTGTTTGTTTGTGTGCTTTGTTTGTTTGTTTGTTTGTTTGTTTGTTTGTTTGTTTGTTTGTTTGTTTGTTTGTTTGTTTTTTGATTGCTTGCTTGCTTGTTTGTTTGTTTGTTTGTTTGTGTGCTTGTTTGTTTGTTTGTTTGTTTGTTTGTTTGTTTGTTTGTTTGTTTGTTTGTTTGTTTGTTTGTTTGTTTGTTTGTTTGTGTGTTTGTTTGCTTTGATGATTGTATGTATGCTTGTTTGTTTTGTTTTGTTTGCTTGTTTATTTGTTTGTTTGCTTTGATGATTTGTATGTCCGCTTGTGTGTGTTGTTTGCGTGTTTGTTTGTTTGATTTGATGATTTGTATGTCTGCTTGTTTGTTTGGTTGGCTTGTTTGTTTGTTTGCTTTCATGGTTTGTATGTCTGCTTGTTTGTTTGCTTGTTTGTGTTGTTTGCTTTGATGGTTTGTATGTTTGCTTGTTTGTTTTTGTTGCTTGTTTGTTTTGTTTGCTTTGAAGACTTGTATGTCTGATTGGTCGTTTTGTTTGCTTGTGTGTTTGTCTGCGTTGTTGATTTGTATGTTTTCTTGTTTGCTTTGTTTGCTTGTTGTTTGTTTGCTTTGATGATTTGTATGTCTGCTTGTTTGTTTGTTTGCTTTGATGATTTGTATGTCTGCTTGTTTGTGTTGTTTGCTTGTTTGTTTGTTTGCTTTGATGATTTGTATGTCTGCTTGTTTGTGTTGTTTGCGTGTTTGTTTGTTTGCTTTGATGATTTGTAGATCTGCTTGTTTGTTGTGTTTGCTTGTTTGTTTGTTTGTTTGTTTGCTTTAATGATTTGCATGTCTGCTTGTTTGTTTGTTTGCTTGTTTCTCTTGTTTGCTTTGATGGTTTGCATGTCTGCTTGTTTGTTTTTTTTGCTTGTTTGTTTGTTTGCTTTGATTATTTGTATGTCTGCGTGTTTGTTTGTTTGCTTTGTGATTTGAATGTCTGCCTGTTTGTTTTGTCTGCTTGTTTTTTTGTTTGTTTGTTTGTTTGTTTGTTTGTTTGCTTCAATTATTTGCATGTCTGCTTGTTTGTTTTGTTTGCTTGTTTGTTTGTTTGTTTGTTGTTTGCTTTGATGATTTGTATGTCTGCTTGTTTGTTTTGTTTGCTTGTTTGTTGGTTTGCTTTGATGATGTGTATGTTTGCTTGTTTGTTTTGTTTGCTTGTTTGTTTGCTTTGATGATTTGTATGTCTGCTTGTTTGTTTTGTTTGCTTGTTTGCTTGTTTGCTTCGATGATTTGTATGTCTGCTCTTTTTTGTTCTTGTTTGTTTGTTTGCTTTGATGATGTGTATGGTTGTTTGTTTGTTTGCTTGCTTGTTTGTTTGTTTGTTTGTTTGTATGATTTGTATGTCTGCTTGTTTGTTTTCTTTGCTTGCTTGTTTGTGTTTGTTTGCTTGCTTGCTTGCTGGCTGGCTGGCTGGCTGGCTGGCTGGCTGGCTGGCTGGCTGGTTGGCTGGCTGGCTGGCTGGCTGGCTGGCTGGCTGGCTTGCTTGCTTGCTTGCTTGCTTGCTTGCTTGCTTGCTTTGCTTTGATGATTTGTTTGTTTGCTTGCGTGTTTGTTTGCTTGCTTGCTTGTCTGTTTGGTTGTTTGTGTTGCTTTTTGTTCCGGGTCTATCAAACCACACCTGCTCAACTCGGGTCCTTGGCCAAACTTGGGTAGACACGCCTTCACTGGCTATTCAAGTTTGAGCTCTGTGCCTTGCGGTGCTTTTCCGAAGACCCCAACAGTCAGGTTGGAGCGCGAAGAAGGATGTGGAAGAGATAAAGGATTTCTCAGGTCATTTCTCCATTTATTTGTTTGTTGTGGAGAGTTTCCCGTTCACGTAGTTTAAGGCAGTGTAAGGTTGTCCTTTTACCTTTCATTGTTTCGAGAGAAGCAACACCTGCGGTAAACTCAGCAAACAGTTCGGGGGGGGAGTTGGACCAAACTGGCTGGCCTCAATTCCTGTGTACGTGTACATGTACGTGCGTATGTGTGCGCGCGCGTGTGTGTGTGTGAGTGTGTGTGTGTGTGTTTGTGTTTGAGTGTGTGTGTGTGTGTGCGTGTCCAGGAAACCTTTCACAGGCCCAGGCATCGCGTATCATTCCATCCACTGTGCGTGTGGCGCATGGATGTCCCTGCGTGTACATGTGCCTTTCTATGTGTATGTTGTCTATTTGTTTGTCTGTCTGCCTGCCTGGCTGTTTGTCCGTCCGTCCGTCCGTCTGTTTGTGAGTCTGTGAGTCTGTTTGTCTATCTGTCCGTCTGTCTGTCTGTCTGTCTGTCTGTTTGTGTGTTCTGTGTGTTTGCCTGACTTTGTGTTTGTGTTTGTGTGTGTGTCTGCGTGTGCTAATCTTTGTCTGTTGGTTTGTCCTCTGTGTCTGTGCGTTTATCTTCGCCAAGTGTCACCTCTGTCCACACCCTCTGACCTTTGACCTTTCGAGCCCTCGAGCCAGCAGGACGTGGCATTTTGTAGGGTTGGTTTACCAAGACCCGACTGCCGCTAGGCTGCCACTGGGCACTTCAGAATGTTTGCAGTTTCTTCAGTTCGGCAACTTGTGGGCAATGAGGAGCAGTCCGGACAGTGACTCATTATATAAATGCGTACCACTCCGAAGATTTGTTAAGCTTTGGCATCCCTTGGCCAAAGACTTAGGTAAGAAGCAGTGAGTGAGCCAGACAGTTACTTTTCCATGCTCTGTAAGATCAGGTTCAAAGTAAAGCGTGATCGGTACGGGCAGTTTGAAGCATGGTTTAAATGAAGCCCTTCTGCCCTCCGACAAACGAACACGGGGGTGCAAAGACCCCGTTTTAAAGACTACTAGGTTCCTTTTTGAGAAACGGTCTCGTATGTGCACTTCCGTTTTGCTCGGCGAGGAGTACTGATTCGAGGGCACGATGTTCTTTAGCCATGTGACGACGTGGTTGCTGATCTTCCATGTTCCACATTTTTTCTCCCACAACGAGTAGCTGTTTGGCCACCTATACGCACTATTCAAACCTCAGTTGTTCAGTGGCACGCTTTTTCCCCGTTTTTTTTGAGTGGCTGCCCCACTAAAAATGGTCTTCCCAGAAAAGGGTTCCCTTTTTTCCAGGGTCACAGAACAACTGAGCACACTATTCAATCAGCTGCATGTTTTTCATCTTCCCCAGTCAAACTTTTGCACCACCGTTTGGTCTTGGTACTCCTGCGAACACTGAGGCAAGATGGTGAGCCAGCCAGCCGCGGAGGCAGGTCATGTGACGCACCGGCCAGTTGCTGAGACAATTGGTCTTTGTGCCCTTTCGGGGTCCCTTTGTTTTCTCGTTTAACAATCTAGGTCCCCCAGCTAGGTGCCCTTTTACCTTTTTTTTGGGGGGAGGGTTCCCCTACTAAAATAAACTACAGAAAAAAAGGGTACCCATATTCTAACCTCTCGACTGGAGGACCTAGCAATTATTGTCTTTTTGCCGTGCCCTTCGTGAACCCCAGCCAAACACCCGCAATACATTGGAACCCCCAACTTTATTCGCGGCCGCTTCTTTTCGGGCGCGCCTTCTGGGCGCTTCGTTAGGAGGAAAAGAAGCGGCGGAAGGGCGACTTGGAGGCAGGTTGCACCATTGGCCGCTCTTGCCCTGGATCTGTTATCCCTGATTTCCTGCACTTTTGAACTTTTGGGGAAGACCGTTTTCGTGGTACACAGGAATCGCAGAGTGAAACAGCTGCTTTTTTCCGGCAATCCACTCAGGAACCGAGATTGAAACACCTCCACGAGTTTCTACAAGAAGTTCGCCCAGATCCCACGTCAGGTGGTCGTTATTTGGTCAAATTCTTGTAGCATTTCCAGAGGTTTGCTGGGATGTTAGCAAAAACAACTTCTTAGGTATCCAAGTACCTTCTACTCACTTCTGGACTTTAAAAGCTTTTCGGGAAGACCACTTTACTGGTCAACAAAAAGTTTGGCCGGTGTTTGGCCAGTCCACTCGGGGAGTGAGTCTAAGTTAGGGTACGTTTGAAGGACTTTTGGCCCGGCTCAGCTCTCCAAGGCCAAGGGACCCTTTGGGCCTTGGCGGGGTTTACCCTCCCAACGGGACTCCGATTAAAGGGCCCTAGGAGAAACGCTGTGTCCTTTTGTCAGTGTCTGCCCCCTTTTTAAAGGGAAGTCACCACTAAAGCAGTCTACCCCACCCCCTTTTAGGTGGTTCTAAAGGAAATCCGCCAATAAAACCGAATTCCATAAAACAAAGAATAAGGGAAGCCACCCAGAAACATGAAATCAAAAAAAAAAAAGCGGGAAGCCGCCAATAAAACCAAACTCCATGTGTGTTTTTCTCCTCGCGGGGGGCACCAGGGCCAAGTCCTACAGCCAAGGTCCAGCTCTGGTCCGGACCGCACGCCCATGGCTTCGCCCAGGTGGAGGGCTACAGCTGCCGCGCCCAGGGCTCCAAGCTGCGACTCCGGCTGGATTTTCTTTTAATTGCCTCAAAAGACCGGTACCCACCACCGAACCTTCCCCAGAACTAGCTCCCCTCTTTGCGATTTTGCTTTTTTGGGGTTCCCTTTGTTTTCCACTAGCCAGGCAAGAAAGATATATATATATATATATATTTTTGCTGGGGTCCTAATTCCAGCCAACTAGCATGAAAGTGCAAAAGGCCAACTCACCAAGAGGAAAGCAGTCTTTCTACAGGGGTCTGTGCTTAGGGGTGCCTTGGGAGTCAAAAAAAAACACGCACACCTTCTGGAGGATACGGCTGTGGCTCAAAAACAAGAATGGCTTGCCCTGGCAAGCGGAAACATGGACCAAAACCTGAAAGTAACCCCTCATATTTAATTTTGAGCCACAGCCAAGGGGTCGACGAGTGCAACTTGGGGGCCGCAGGGGTCGTAGTGTTTTTGGGGTGCCCCTCTCCAAACCAGCCCCCAAAAAAGGGTCAAAAGACCTCCCCCATGTGGGTGGGGAAGGCAGGGTTTGTTATATGTCCCCCTTCTTTAGTAAGTTTGCACATCACTTTGTGGGCCGATTTATCGGGTGGGGTGTCTTGCAGCTTTTCGCGGTGCTGTTCAAAGGCAATTGCGGAGGATATCAGAGGGTTACGGAAACGAGTATCCTTTGTCGTGGTTTTCCAACATGTTTAAGGGGCACACTGCGCTTTGAAGAGCCCAGCTGGGGAATGTGGATGGGGCAGGGTTATTATGGGAAACAGTACTTCAAGTCCAATAGGTGTTCATGGCCCAACTTCGAATAGGTGCATCTGCAATGAACCATGGCCCAAGCACATACCACAGCAGTCCATAAAGGGTAGAAAGAACGTAATGCGCAGAAAGTCTCACGGGGGCCACCCTCGAAAATGGTTGGTGGAGGAAACACACTCTAAAGTCCCCAATTGGATGCTCTATACCAAAGGGTCAAACACAGGGTTGTGGGATCAAGGGGTTTATTCCCTTCCACTCGGGGGCTGTTTGCGTGGCCTTCGTGACAGGCCTGCATGTGACAAATGTAAACGGCTTTGTTGTCCATCTCTTTGTTGCACTGCTGTACAGCTCATGCAGCTTTTGTATTTTTGCTTGGCAGTCTTCAACCGCGTTGAATTTGCCATGGTCTTGAGCTCAGATGTGGTGTGCTTACTTGCAACATGTAGTTGGCATCCACCGTAGTTCTTCTCAGTCCCTGGCTATATATGCCATTGACGCTCACGTTGTCCCATTAGTTCATTAAGCATGTGTGATGTCCGTACCCTATTGATGAGAGCAATCCGAATCTCTAAAATGAATTCATCCCCGTCCACCCCAATTCATCCTGCCTCTAAAAAGGGGGACCACCCTGATTAGTATCGTCTAGATTAATCCGAAGTTGTCGTTAGTGCACCCCCCTCCAAGCGAATTGTGAGGTACCCCTAGGTTTTTGAACCACCCCCCCTGCATAAGCCTCTTGAGCCTTTCGGGCATGCCCACAACAGGAAAGCAACTTAAATGAGTGTTCAGAGAGCTAGGCGCCCGCATCTTTTCGGCAAAGGAGTGGGGCTGAGTGCTTCTCTTTGTGGTGAGGTGCTTGGGTTGGTTCAAGGGGCGAGGGAAGAGTGATGCTTTGTAATTACTGGTGAGAAGTGTGGCACTCTGGGCCGTGTTTGTTCATCATCTGGTTTCCAGAGGCTGATCGCTGTGGCTTGCCTCTCTTGGATGTGAACCATGGCCACTTAACGGGGCAGGGTACGTACCAAGCGGTTCGTAAGCCTGTTATAACTTATAACCCACTTACCATGGTTACAAGTCTCCCCTGGTTGGTTATAACCAGGCTTACTTACCACTTTCTCAGGACAAATTTGCCCCTTTGAGTATGGTTCAGGAAACTGGTGTTAGTTCCTTAGATCCATGGCTGTGACCTAGGGTATCTACGTTGAACAAAGTTGGAGACGGAGGGAGCCCCGAGTTTCGTCATGGTGCACAAACCGATTCGTGCAACCCCAATCTGTGGCAAGGGCTATGGGCCGCGAGTATAGAATTGGACATTGTCAGGAGTACTTGTGGTTCGGTCTGTATAATATGCTAGATAGACTATGACAGCAATATAACTCTATTGGGTCTGTCTCACTTTACGCTATACCCTTTGATGAGGACGCCCTCTTAGAAGCTCCTTCAGAATCCTTCCTGTGGGGTGGGGGAAAAGAGGCTTGGTTTTGCTCCGTGTGGGGCCACGTTTTTTTGTTACACGCCGGGTGCACGGCCAGGATTCTGCATTTGCCGCAAGTGGACATGCTTGGTGCGGTCCCTAGAGATGGGTCAGAGGCAACTGGTGTCGTTGGAGGGTAGGACCCAAATGGCTGTGGGTCAAAACCAATGGTAGTACGGGCTTTTGACTCATGGCCAAATGATTAAACTCAGGCAACCCTTGATTGGTTCGGGCCAGCTCCTTCATAACGGTACCAAGGTCCAAACCACCAGACCAAAGCACCAACTAGGGATACGGTGAAGAAGAGGGTCTTTAGTGTGGATGGACAAAATCCATTTCGCACCACTTTGAAAGCATGGGACACCATTGTTTGCTGGTATTTACAGGGAACCATTCTTGCAGGGTTTCCTTGGTGGTGCGAAATGGATTTCGTCCATCCACAGTAGGGAGGTGAAGGATGGGGTTCTTGGAAACTCTAAACCCAAGTCACGACTCTGAGTTTTGTCGGGCCCATTTGGAGCATTCGGGGAGCTTTCTGGCCCCTAAGGTCACCGGTTCTTCTAAGGCTCGAGGGTCCGGAAAGTATTTTGCTGGGTGATGGTAAGGAACACCTTCTTGGCGCATTTAGATGATGTTTTAAGCAAGAAATATCGGATCCCCTGCTACTCCCACTTCCTGAGTTCTTGGACTTAGTACTTTTTGGGAGGACTATTTTAGTGGTAAATTTGAGAAAAACATTTGCTTTTGGAGTACAGTTGGAGTTAGCCTGCAATGGCGCCCCTTGCGACTCTGCATCATGATTGAAACCGCCCAAACTGATTGCAATGTTTGGCTCTTTGCAAGCACGCCGCGACCTGTGTTTGAGCCAAGAAAACCATGTTGTTTGTCACACAAATTGATTTGCGAGCGAACCTGAAGTATGTTGATGGCAAGCATGCTTGGTGTAGACTTCGGTTCGCTCATGCGCTGGGCCCTGCTAGTTGGTTCAGCCTGCAGATTGTTGAACTTGTCCTGGAGCATCAAGGAGCCAAACTGTTGGCTTGCTAATATCCAGACTTGGGGAATAAATTGTTTTTAGAAGAACCGACCACAGGCAGTTTCTCTGCCAATGTCTGACTTTTTGCCTATATACATCTATATACATGGTGCAGTGTTTGGGTGGGAAAGGCAATGACGCCTGAACTCAACCTTTCTGCTTTCGCCCTAGATTTGCTGATCCCTGACCTCTGCCTTTCGATTTTCGTGGTTCAGTTTGCTGGTCCTTCCTCGCTGATCCGGTTTTCGGACTGGTAAAGCGGCACTGCCAGGCCCTGTGGTGGGGGAGCTGCGAAACGGGAGTCTTTCACTGGAGGTGGACGAATGGGCCGGGGGCCACGGGAATTCAGATCCAGCCCCAGCCCTTCCCAGGCTGCCTTAAAAACGATGACAACAAGACAACAAAAAAAACGATATGTGGCTTTAAGGTGGGTCATTTTGTGTTAAGATAATATGTTTGTGTCAAAAAAGCAAACAAACAATATGTGGCTTTAAGGTGGGCCATCTTGGTCGCTAGCAGTCTCTCGGGTGGTTTCACACGCCGGCTGCCAGTGTTTGAACCCAGGTTGACTGGGATCGGAACCCACGGGGTGGAGCCGGCTTGCTCAGGGGTCGCTCCAGATGCTCCTTTGGTTTCAATCGCCTGCGCGAATTTAGGATTTAGGATGATTCTGGGCTGATGTTTCAAGGAGGCACTACAGGGATGTGTACTTTGGCGGCCCAAGCCTTCTTGGTTGCCAAGTTTCATCGAGCCGATAGGTTGAGGGATACTGAGGCTAAGCATTGCCTTAGTTGCTCCCACTGACAACCAGCAAACTCGAAAGCTCAATGGGGGGATACCCCGATCGAATTCCACTGAGCAGCTCGTTCGTTGAATGAAGGAACTGTCTGCCTGGGTCTCTTCGGACAAGGCCCAGGCTAGCCTTCCTGAGCTTATCCTCGCTGTTGTTGGCATGTGGTCTAGCAGTCGGTTCCTTATGTTTAGTGGGTGACTGCAACACGTGGACTTGTGCTGACAAATACAAGGGCCGGGGCGTGTCCTCTTCTTACTGAATGCTTTGGACTGGCGTCGATTTGCATTGAGTCCTCCATCTCCTGTTGCTTGAATGCAGCGCCTTGTTTTTTTTTCAACGTAGCGGGGGAAGACCATTTGGGTATGGGTCAAAATGAAACTACCAGGGGACCGCAAGCTTTACTCCTTGTTTCCATTTTCCAGGGTTCCATTTTGGGTACCTATTTTTGTCCCACACCCATGTTAGTGGTTTATTCAACAGGTTCCGGCTTTTTCTGGCCAATCCACTCAGGAAGTCAGTAAAGGAAGAGGGGAGAACCAGTTTCCAAGGTCCAAGTTGGACACTCCCCGCGCCCTCAAAAAAAAACAAAAAACGGCGCTTCTGCCAGCCGAGGTGCAAGAGCTCTACCATGCGTCGGTGCCCCGGGAGCCCTGCAGGGAAGCCGAGTCTGGGGAAGTCCATGGCTGCGCCTAAGCAGACCTAAGCCCCTGGGTTCTTTGCCAGGGAAGCCCGTGGGCTTACGCGTAGTGGAGCAGTCAGAAATAGATGTCCTTTGCCCGAACCAGCAAAAGGGACGCTGCTGGCCCCTTTGCTGGTTGACTTTCCCAAAAGCGGTTTGGCGGTATTTGTCCTTTGGGTGGTTTTCCAGCATCAACTTTTGGGGTGAGTCTCCTAAATGTGCTGAAAAACATCGCAAGGTCTCAAGGCCACTGTGTGGCCCACTGGCAGTGAAACTCAGCCATTATGAGATTGCGTGTGTGGCGCGCCTGTTTTCAGGATTTACATTGACAGTTTTTGTTGAAAGACAGTACCTTTTGGGGCCACCTTGACCAGATGAGTTTGCCTTCGGTGGGGTGATGTGTAAGTAGTTTTTGCAGGTGGTGTCAAGTTAGGGAGCCTCAGAAAGTGTTTTTGTTGTTTTACTTTTGGTTGCCCTTCAAACCAACATGGTCAAAAGACGCGCACCCCAAACAGCAGCCCCCAATTTGTAGCAAGCATCCGCGCAGCTTCCAAGGCCCCGTGCATTTCGATGCCGCTGGGGCGGACAAGGCTTTGGCAGAGCAGAGGCGCGAGGAAGCTCCTGGAAGGAGCAACAAGGGAATGCATGTTTCAAAGTTTCTTTTCCCAGAACTCAGCTCACAGTTGCTTTAAAAGATCTGTTTGAGCTGAGGCATTTGAAAATCCGGTGGATGCCTCTAGCAGCTCTAGCATTCAATGTTCCACATCCAGGTAGCAGACTTCCATCGCTTTTTGGGGCTCCATGTCAATCTGCAGAGTAAGCAAGGATCTGCCTTTGGCGGGCTCACCGAGTTGGGCGAAGAACATAATGAGCTGAGTCTGACGTGGGCCCTGGGGATCCAATTGCGACAAATTGGTCGAAATGTCGCTGCGCGTGGCCGTTGGCGTCGAAGATGTTTCGGGTGGAAAGCTCGGAGCCTTGTGACCCATGCGGTTTGCTGTGGGCCCGCGAGTCCGGCACGGCAAGAGTCAATGAGACGGGGTCGTTTCCCTCGTCTGTGCCTTTTTTTTCTTCGCAAGCCAAGCATTAGTGCGCTTTTCATCGCTTCGTTGCCTGGTTTTCACACTTTGGTTGTCTGATCCATTTGGACACATCTGCATGCCAAGTCGTAAGCATCCCACTGACCACTTGATGGCAGCCCAGCCATGACAACAGCTGCAGCCGTTTTCCTTGTGCATCCGCTTGCACAAAGAACGATCCATGCCAACCGCTTTCGTTGTTGCCGGAACGTGCAACGCCAATAGGCACTTATTTGTTCTTTGCCTTCTCCAGCCTTACGAATCCTTTGGTAGCGGCTGGAGGGACAAAGAGAAGAGATTCCTAACACCCCAAATGCAATGATAAAGAGAAGATAGTGCAAGGAATGTAAACAAGATATGAAGTGAAATGCATGATTTCCTTCTTTAAAAGTATAAACCATGTCAATATGTGTTGTTTTCTTCTATCTCTTTGTCTTCTCTCTTTATAAAGCAGGTGCAACAGTGTGTGTGTGTGTGTGTTGTTAAGCAAAGCCAGCATGCAGCACCACCCCGAAAGCAGCTCAAATCGTGGTTTTATTTCCGGCTGCATTTGCAATGCGATACACGAAAGCGCATATCGTATGGGCATATAAATAAGCATTTGCCGGTTTAACGGCACCTTTACTGAGTCAAGTGTCAATCAACACGTTGAACTGCCTTCTGCTTGCCCGTTGGCTTGCACCTGCAGGGCTTCAGGCAAAACCCTTGCCAGGCAATGTAATTCTGGAGCAGGACAGTCCCTCAATACAAGACCTTTTCGGTACATCATGTTTGAGTTGAGCCTACAAGGGGAACTGCTGCCCTTTGGCTCACCAGACATTGAAACGGCCAAGATAGTACATGTCCGCCCAAGAAGGGTAGACTAGTAGACTCCTTTGACCCTGCTGTTGGTTTTCCTTCATGTTCTTTCGATTCCATCTTTGGGTCTCTGATCTCTTTCTAGTCTTCCTTCATGTTCCGCTTTCAACTTAGTCTCCAAAGTAACAGCTACGCTGGGTGTCCTTCATGTCCATTTTCTTGCTGGTGCGGTAGGTAGCGAATGAGAAATGGAATCACACGGAGACAAACCATCCCTTAGTGGTTTCCTTGATTCGGGACTCCCATAACGGTTCATTCCATATCTCACTCAGCAGGGAATGTGGGAATGAACCCAGGCTTTGGTCCCCTTAAAGGAAACCACCAGCAAGGGATGGTTTTCGTTCTAGTGATCATTCCATTTCTCATTCCCTGCCGCAGCAAGTCATTCGCCACTTGACTGCTATTTGGTTGGATCTTTCGACTTTAACTTTTGGGAAGGCAAGGGGTTTTCCGCTAAACCCACAAAACGTTAAACTTGTTCAGGGCTCCTCAAAAGATACATTTTGCCCATTTGAAACATGGTTTGTTCCACCAAAATAAAGGGAAACCACCATTTACAAGGCAATGCTCAGGTGTATAATCTAAGGATCCCTGTTTTTGCAGAGGGTTTGACAGCAGCCAAGGCCCCGCCGCCTTCCGGCAGATGCGCTCGATCGAGTGAATGCCAGGCCATGGCTCTGGGAGAACTTTGCGAATGCCCGGGAAGCGACTCAGCGGAGATTCCCACGGGGGGGGGGGGAATCCACTGGGCGAAGGCGTTTATCGGAAGTCGGCCACGGTGATGCAAGGAGAAACCAAGGTGAAAAGGGGAAACTAAGGGAAACCAAGGGGACCGACAGATGTCCAGAGGCGCAAATATTGCTTTGCTTTTTCCTTAGCTTAACGGGAGAGGACTCACTTGAAAGTCAACTACGAAAAATGAGTGCCGAATCTTTTGTCCCTGGGGGTCTGAGCAACAATCAGGTGGACGTTGTGGGGTAACCCCAAAGAAAGTAGTCTTCTAACATCCTCCCATCGTCAGGAGAGAGGGCATGTCCCCAACCCAGACCTCTGGAGGGGCATTCCAGTTTTCCCGGGTTTCGAGGGTGGTTTGCTTCAAAGTCCATCAGTACGTGGCCGATGCTCTGGGCCAGAAGTGGCTCAGCACGTCACCTTTTGCCCAAAGCGAGTTTCCTTTCGGCAGGGTGTAGCGCTGTTTGGATTAAAATCCAGTGGCACTTTCCCCTTTCGATGTGTGACCCTGGTCCAACTGGTCGTTTGTGGGTAGGCTTGACGGACCACATGACATGTGTTCACACAAGCCTGCACTTGGGCCCATTTTGGCTCAAGTGCTGGCAACCATTCTGGTTCCTCAATTTGAAAACTTTCCCTCTCTCTCTCCTTTGTAAGCCATGGCCCTCAGCAGTGCCCCTGTGTACGCTGGCGACATCTCCAAGGCGGCGCTTGCCAAGGCCAAGCCGGACAGTGCTAAGGCCAAGGATGCTATGCGCAAGTTCTTGGAGAAGGCCGTGCAGAAGGACGAGGAGGGCTGGCGCCTGCTCAACCGGATGCCAGCGAGTTCCTGCGCTACCCCGCCATCGAGTGATGCGGAACAGGAACAGGCGCCCATTGCCCCTCAGATGAAGAAGCAAAAGACGGAGGGTGACGACGATATGGCGGCGGCGCAGGAAGAGTCGGAGACCACCGGCATGGAGGTTGACAGCGGGGCCCTTGTCACCCCGGGTGCCGTTGGCCCCGAGCGGGGACGAGGCCCCGATCGACGCCGCGGACCTCACGGAGTCCATGGAGCTGGTGGAGGACCCCTCTGCCCCCCGGGTGCCGCTGCTCACGGCGGCGGTGGAGATCGCCAAGCAGGTGGTCGAGGATTTGCCGGAGGCCGTGAAGCCCGAGCTGGTGTCTGAGTCCTCGGAGGAAATTGAGGACACCGACTCTGACAGCAAACCCCCCGCCTTCATTCGGGTGGACGACGGGTTTTGGCGGATCCCCCACAAGGACCTGGGGTTTGAGCTGCCGCCCTTCGCGGACCGTACCAAGCAGCAGCTGCGCCAGATCCCCCGAGGACAGGTCCGCCGCCTGCTGGCGGGCTTCAAGCCACCTTGACTGCTGGTGGACTGGAACTACCTGGCCAGGAAGAAGCACGAGCACCTGGCCATGCTGCGGCAGCCGGCCCAGAAGCCGGGGGGCAGGGCCGGGCTTGGCTCCAGCACCCTCAAGGCTCGGCCGGCGGGGGCCCCGAGCACAAGCTGTTCTGCGCCTCCTGCCAGAACCCGTGGGGGACCTCCAAGACCAAGTGCCTGCTTTGTGGCAAGTCGGGCGCCCCGGTCCCCTTGGAGGAGATGACGCACTTGCTGCGGGTGGACGGGGGGTCTTGGCGCTTGGATGTGGATGCGAACGGTCTCCCGGTGGTCCCTTGCCTCGGGTGCCGTGGGCCCCGACAAGGCGGGGACCACCGATGACAAGCAACTCGGCCGTGCACCTCTGCGGCCTGGCACAGCAGCCCCTGCCCAGTGCCACCCCGAAGGAGCCTCCTTCGCGGACCAGGTACCCATGGCCATGAGGGTAGCCCTCAGGGAGCACCTGCCAGACCAGGATTTGGAGTTCATGGAGCAGCACCCGGAGGCGGCCTCGGCAACGGACCCACCCAGAGCTGCACGGGGTTTCACCCGTTGGCCCTCAAGGCCTTTCGCATACAGACAGAGGTCAGTGACGCTCAGATCGCTAAGCTGCACGCCGCGCGGGAGGAGCAGGAGCGGCAGATCCACAGGAGCCTGGACGTCCTCACTGAGATGCAGGCTGGGGCCCATGAGACCGAGGGCGAGCTCCTGAAGTGCCTGGACCCGGCCTCCATCGCCCAGGCGCAGACCACCCTGGAGGAGGCCAAGGCCAAGAATAAGGCCAGACAGGCCGAGGGCCAGGAGCGCACTCGAATGCTCCGTCCCCTGCCGGAACCCATCTCCGCCTGGCCCATGGCGGTGCGGGACGCCATCGAGCGGGGGGTGTTTGAGGCCACGGAGGCCTGGCACGACATCAAGGCCGCTGAGCTGCAGGACTTGATGGACCCTACATGGAGGCCAAGACGCTCCTCACGGCGGGGAGGAACCCGTTCCCGGCCAAGCTCATGCTGGAGTTGCCGCAGCTGGAGGGGGCTGCCCCGGGTGCCGTGGGCCCCGACCAGGGTAACCCCCCCAGGCGGCGGGCTCCAAGGGGCTGCCCCGGGTGCCGTGCGCCAAGCTGGACTCCAAGGATGCGGAGGTGCAGCTCGGGGTGCTCAAATGGATGATGACCAAGCATGCGGGCGAGATCAGGATGACTGGCAGTGTGTGGACGCGCCGTATGGGGCCCTTGCATCTGCCTGACTGGGCCAAGCAGCTCAGTGAGCCCGACCTGACCGCCTTGGAGTCCCGCACTCACCCCAGGAACAGCGAGCAGACCCACGTCCCCTTCGTACGCTACTTGGAGAAGCAGATCTCGGAGCAGCGCAGGGCCAATGACCGGCCCAGCGCCAAGCAGATCCGGGGTGGACGGGTGGCACTGGGTGCGCCAGGTGTCCACCTGGGACCTGGCCACCCTCATGCACCGCTTTGGGCACTCCTACACGCTCCGCCAGGTGTACGCCATGTGGAGTTCCCTGCCGCTGCTCGTCCCTCCCCACAAGCGAGGGCCCAAGGGCAAGGAGCAGGGCCTTGCCCGGCTGGACGCCTACAACAAGGTGAAGTCCGAGGCGCGGAGCTTCTTGGAGGAGAATGACCTCCCGCTGCCGACCACGGCGGAGGACTGGAAGAAGGTCTACCGCTTGCTCGGGTCGATCTTGGCCGCCCGCGCCTACTTGGCGGGCACCCTGGCGGTGATGTCGCTGCCCATCCAGGAGATGACCGACACGAAGGAGCACATGATCCTCAGGGCGGTGTGTGACGAGAGGATCACTCTCCCCCTGGACAGCCTCCGGAAGTTCCAAGGTCCTGGAGGCGCTGCACGCCCAGGTGGGCGACCTGAGTAGGCTGGCGGAGGTGACGGTGTTCTACCGCTGCAACTCGGAGCAGTGGTGGGCTCCGGCGGAGGCTGTGGAGGTCTACCGCAAGCTGGGCTACAACCCGGACATGCTGGCGGCGGTGGCTGGCAGGGGTGGGGGCAGCTGCCGTTGGCGCTGATAACCCCCCCCTTGCCGGGGAAGACATTGGGGTGCAGCTGGATGACGGCAGCACCCCGACTGAGCAGCGCTTCCCGCCCATCACCAAGTACAACGCGACGGGCCCGGTCGGCAAGGACTACCGGAAGAAGCACTTCCCGGCTGCTTTTGGGCCCAGATGGAGTGTGGCCTAGTGCTCCCATCCGTGAGCGCCTGGGAGACGGTGACCAAAGCCAAAGGGGTCACGCGTGGAGGCTACATGTGCAAATACTGCAAAGGGTTCTGGAAGGCCGGGCGGGGAGGCTCGAGGCTGCTCCAGATCCGCTCCGGGCGCGCCATTGTCCAGCTCATCCTGGATGAGCCCCTGCAGGGCTTGTACAACAAGTGGATCAAGGAGCGCTTGGAGTTCTACTGCAGGGCCCCCCCTCGGGACGTCCCCTTGGCCCACCAGCGGGTGCCCCGGATCCGCTTTGGGATCTCCAATCAGACGGGGCCCGTGAGTGACGCCATCTGGGAGATCATCTTGGGCAACAAGGAGATGGAGACCTTGCGCCATATCGACGGCCTCGCAAGAAGAAGGCCGTCAAGTGAGCGGCGATCCGAGGGGACCGGCTGCCGTTGGCGCCGATCGTTCCCCCTGTGCCCGGCTGGGAGGACTTCCATTTTGGATATAGCTCCTTTCCCCGTTTGCCCGGTTCTGGCTCTCTTCTCCTCTTACTACATAATGGATGTTCATATTTTCCTTTGGGAGGAGAGCCAGCTGCCGTGGGCGCTGATAGCTCACTCCCGGCTGGCGCGACCAGGGGACAGACCCCGCGCTCTGAGGAAACAAGGATTGCTGACGCTGTTTTCTTTTTCCTTTTGGGTAAACGTTTGGGGTCCCCCCCTGGCCTTGGCCTTGCGGCTATACGCCTAGCGATTCCTAGATGGCCTCCTTTCTCCCCCATGTACCGTTGCCTTTCGAACGCCGCAGTTTTCTGCCCATGGCGGGTACTGATCTTGTCAGCTTGGGAGGGGCCTTTGGTAAGGCCTTTAGGACCCTCCCATCGCATGTGGCAATTGTTCTGGAAGACTATAGCTTTGGGCCGGTCCAGTCGGACGGGGAAGCCCTGGTGATGGCCTGTCTGGACTGGATTCCCAAAGATGATGTAGAGGAGGAAGTAGTCCCCCTCCCCCCACAGGCATGGGCGCGCACCTCCAGGGCCCGGCATGGAGCTGGTTTTTAGCCCTTTCTGGGGGGAACTTTTTGCAAGGTGTTTGGGGGGGCTCCCCCAACCTGTCTCTCCTGAAGATGTCCTCCGAACTCAGAATCTTTTGCTTTCTCTGATGAGCAAGGCGGGGTCCTCCCGTCAATCCTCCACGTTCACGGCTCTGGAGCAGGAACGCGAAGCACGTGCCAAGGCTTCCTGGCAGCGCCGGCTGGCCCAGGGCGGACATGAGTTGGAAGCCCTGGCGGGCAAGTGGCGACATTGGAAACCGGGGCGGGTCCAGCAGGTGACCCCGACGAGCCAGCGGCACCTGGAGTTGGAGCTTCGACGGCGCTGGCTGGAGCGCCTCTTGGCGCACTTCCTGCCCTATGCCTCGCAGATCCCGCACATGGCGGCGGTCATGGGCCCCAAAGAGGAGGAAGAGTTCCTGCATCTTTTCGGGGACACCCGCTTCCGCACCATCAGGGCCCATGCGTTGAACTATGAGAAGATGCGGCGGCTGGGCTTCACGCAGATCCCTTGGCGTGAATCTGAGGTACGGCACCTTATGTCCCAAGCCCAACAGCTGGAACTGACTCCGGCCAAGCTCCAGACGTGGTGGAACACGTTGAAGTGGCTTAGCAAGAAACTGGGCTTCATGGACGTAGAGGCCAACCACCGACTGCAGGAGAAGAAGAAGGCGGTGGAGCAGTCCCTGGTGGACACTATGGTGGCCCCTCAGCGCAAAGCCAAGGTCCCCTCGCTTGGAGCAGGGCACCGTGGCGGGCCAAGGGGACCGACTCCCAGACCACACTTTGCCACTGGTCTTGGCCTTGGTCCGGTTCAACGTGGGGGCGTCGGCTAGGTTCAACGACATTCAGCACACGGCACCGACCTCCATGCGGATTTCTAGCAACACCATTGAGTTTATGGCATGGCAGACCAAGACTGTGTCGGCGGTCAACATCAAGAAGCACCCAGTGCCCCTCATCTGTCCCCTACACTCCTTCACAGGAGCGCGATGGTGGCTGGTGCTGGAACAGTGGATGCTCCGCCTTCAAGAGGCCAAGGAGTTTGCAGAAGCGGATTACCTCTTGCCGACCATCAATCAGAGCCGCACGGGCTTCATCCCCCGCCCGGGGGCCTCTGAGCGCTCACTCCGGTGGCTTCGGCACACCCTGGTGACGCAGGACCCACAGAGAGCAACGGGCTGCTCCCATCCGGGACAGCACCAGGCGCCTCACGCCACACTGACGGGTCTCCGTTCAGTGAAGGATGGTGCACCTGCACACCCCGGGCAGGGGTATCACCCCGCGCCAAGAGAAGAGCCGTGTGGTCACACACGAGCCATCACACAAACGGTGGGGTCTCCCACCGTTCCACTGGCGGCCACCGGCCCCGTGGACAGGCCTTCGGCCATCCCAGCTTTTCAAGAAGCAAGATTGGACGATGTTTACCCCATGGTACAACTTGGCTTTCGGTCCCGGCCACTCCGGGATGGTGGAGGCAAACCTTCATTGGGACGTCTTAACCCTCCCTACCGTCCCCTTTCCAGTCTGCACCAGGTGGGACATCACCTACTCTCCTTGGTGCTGCCGTGGACGCCAAGGCTGTGGACTTCTCTGGCGGCAGGGGACAAGGCACACCCCTTCACGGAGCAGGACCTTTCACAAGTCCGGGGGGTCCTGGGGCCCGTGGAGGTCCATGGAGTTGATGAGGGACAACCTTTCCATCTCAACCTGCTCCATCATCTCCTTCGGGCAGGTCAAGATCCCGACTCGGAGTATCCGCTTCTCCTTCGTGAAGGTGTTGTTTTAGGTGTGACGGAGCCCACCTGACCTCCCCGCACATTTGGCCTACGAAGGAGGAGTTGGCAGGGGAGCCTCAGGAGACTCATGAACTCCCTCCACCACAGGGCCTTTCAGGCGAAGATCGAAGCCACCTTTTGGGAAGAGCGGGATCTCGGCATGGTGGAGGGCCCCTTCACAGCAGAGGAGCGCGCTGTGGCTGCACACCCTCTGACCTCTGTCCCGGTCCCTTGGCCGGCATCGATGAGACTGACAAGATCCGCACCATCTACGATGGCTCCGTGGGTGGGGCCAACCTCCACATTCAGCAGCACACCGTGGAGAGAACTACAGCACTATGGTGGCGGACTGTTTTCATGGCATTCACTGGCTCCAGGCGGCGGCCAGGGAGGCCCCTTTCCCCCCCCGGGGCTCCACGGGTGCCGTGGGCCCCGACATGGGACCGGGGGTGGAACAGCTGGTACAGCAGGGACCGGGCCTCTCCATTGCTCCATGCTCGGGTGCCGTTGGCCCTGATCAGACACACCACGAGACGGACCTCGTGGACCCAGGGGTGACGGCGCCAGCGACTTGGCGCTGGCCCACCTCAGCCGATGACACCCTCCTCCTCAAGGCGGATGTTTCTCAGGCGCATCGCCGCATCAAGGTGCTGTGCACGGACTGGCGGTTCCAGGTGGCCCGCATTGGGCCCCGCTGGTGGGTGAACAAGGTGGGCACCTACGGCATGGCCAGCGCCCAACTTTACTGGGGCCGCTTGGCCGCGGCGTTGCTACGCCTGCTCTACATGCTCTTTCCCCAGGTGGACTGGGGCCTGGTCTTTGTCGATGACTTCTGTTGGTTGCTGAGGAGAAGCTCCCCGGAGTTGGCCACTGCACTACTGGCCACTCTCCTCGCCTAGGGACTCCGCTGTCCTGGAAAAAGACCGTAGCAGCCCCGGTCAATACCTGGCTGGGGTTTGTAGTGGACCCATCGGGTCCCTTCGTCGTCATGGCCAAGCAGAGGTTCGACTTGGTTATGGACATCTTGCAGAGACTCCAATTGGGCGAGACTTTCTCCGCCAAGGCGGTGGAAAAGGCGCTGGGGCGCATCAGTTGGTCAATCTCGGCGCGCCCCATGGCCCGAGCCTTTCTCCAGCCTTTTTGGGCTTGGAAGGAGGCGGTTGTCACTGCTGGGAAGCCTCCCAAGCTGGTCCGGGCCTTGGCGCTCCTTCTGGAGACCCTCTTTAAGGACAGGCTCCCCATTCCCTCGCCCTTTACCCCAGCAAGCCCGTGGTATGGCGCTTCGGATGCTAGCGCCAGCTGTGGCGCAGACCATGCCTGGGTTGGCGGCTGGTGCTCCTGCCACCCAGACCCTTCCAAGTCAGATGTGTGGTGGTTCCAGTACAAGGTTACCAAGCAGAACTGCCCGTGGGCCTTTCCCCACGGGGATCCTCAGCGCTGCATAGCGGCTCTGGAGCTGCTGGGGCTGCTCCTACTGATCGACCTGGTCCACCACTGCTGCGGTGACCTACGAGGCAGACGCCTGAGGGTCGCTAGTAATAACCAGATTAATGTTTTTTCCCTACTGGACGGCTCGGCACGTAAAACGCCGTCAGCCTTCCTGCTTATGGAGATTGTAGCAAAGCTACAGGCTCTTGGGGGGACGCTTTCCCCCACTCATGTTAGGCGGGAGTTCAACGAGTGGGCAGATGAGCTCACTCATCCGTCTCCCGACTTTAATCCTTCTCGGCAGGTACTGGTTGAGCCTCGCTGGCTTCTGTTGCCTGCAATTCTCTCTTTGGTCTACCCACCCATGGCACCGTGATGGGCGCCCGGTGGGTTGGGCACATCCTCCAGTTCTGGGGTGTGGGGGCCGGCGTGAGTTCTGGCCCCACACACCATGCATCAGTTCGAGGGCTGCTGCCCAAACTGGCACCTAACCCCTCACTCTCGACAAAAAGGGGGCTGCTTGCTGTACCCTGTTTGTCCCCCCTCTTCCGTAGCCCCCAGGAAGCCTTTGGGAACACTTGAAGTTCTTCAAAAGAGGTCCAAAAGGCTCCAACAACCAACTCCCTCCGCAGAAACTCCCCCCCGCACCCTAGGAACCCCTCTCCCCCCTAACCCCGCGCCACCAGGCGCTGGAAAACCCCCCTCCCCGGGCTTCTCAGGTCGCGGAGGCGCACGGGGAGATGGAGGAGCTGCTCAGGCTGGATGGACATTGCAGGCAGCTGCCTCCTTTGGAGCTGCCAACTTTTAGGTTGGAACTTGTGGTTTATTTGGCTTGGCGCGTGCTTGTTTTCTTTTATGAGTCGGCTTGTTTTTGTTTGGGGGGGTTGTAGGGTTGTTGGTTGGCACATTTTCGTTTGGTGCGGTGTGTCTTTCTTTGGGGTGGAGGGGGGTGGTTGGCGCCCTTTTGGGTTTGGCACGTGTTTTTGTTGTTGTGTTTGTTTTTTGTTGCGGGGGTTGATCACCATTTTTGTAGGTGGTGTCTAGTGCTGAAGTTCAGAAAAATGGGGGTTGTTTTTGCAGCTCGTTTGGGTGCCCCATGTTTGGTTGGGTTGATTCGGGGATTCAAAGGAGAACCGGGCATGTTGAGGTCCAGCATCCACATCTCAAGCCAAACAAGTCAACCCCACACAGAAAAACGGAGGCCCAAATACAACCAGCATGGTCAGCCACTCCTTTTGCGTCACCTCAGCTGCCTTCAGGCAGAAGGTTCTCACGACCGCGAATTCGGATACCACCGGCACGCAGAAGGCGCGGAGCGGATCCCCATGGATCCCCCGCCCTCCCTGGCAGATTGACTCGGAGCCTTCATCTTGACTGCTATTGGGTTGGATCTTTAGACTCTTTAGACTTTGTTTTTCCATTTCCACAAGTCACTTTTTTCTGCACAGGGATCAATAGCAACGAAGTCATGGACCCCAAAAGACCTCATGCTTCTGGGATTCCAGCGAGATCACCGGTCGAGGGTTAAACGAGCTCGCCCATGAAGGTGTCTTGGGGATTCCTTGAATCGAGTGTGTGAACTGGAGTGGTTTGCCCAGTTGAGCGCTTTGGGTTCCATATGGGTTCCATATCAACCTGCAGAGTAGTCGGGCGTGTTTCAAGATGTTTTAAGATAGTAGGCCGTCCTGGGCCCAATAAACCTGACAAAAAGGAGGCCCATAAGCAGGCTGCCCAGAGAAAAACAGCAAGCTGAAAACTGGAAAAAGCCTGACTCCGCACATTGTGATGCGTCGCCAAACCTTGAGGGCAAAGTGGTTGCAAGTGCGGCCTCGACGTTTTGAGAAGGAAAAACGGGCTTAACCGACAGGAACCTAAGCTGCCTCAACTTTTAAAAGGTAGCGCCGAAATCTTTCTGTTGGGAGTCCCCTGTTCGACTGGAAAGCGGCACAGATGCGCCATCACTGGGCCCTTCGGCGGGGTCCGATTCTACGAATCAGCCACCTATGAATTCCTTCTGCAGAAGGGGAGGGGCTGGCAGCGTCCAGAGGATCCGAGGAGCTGTGGGGGTTTGAGAGTCGCATTTTGAGTGGGTGAGGGTTGCCTCAGGTCCCCGTCCAAGACCTGCAAGTGAAGCCCAGGCTATGGGCCGTCTTGCAAATTGGAGGGTGGGGGGCGGGGGGGGGGGGGTAGTTTACATGAAATTTGAGCCACTTCAACTGTTGCTTGATGTATTTGCGTTTCCCAGATTGGGCAACCCCTTTTTTGAGGATTGCATCCAGCTCTTTTCAAGGGTTTTCCCTTTCCAAGGAAATGCCCACAGGAGACTTGCTGCGCGTTTGGACTCGTCAGGCAAGGAGCGACAAGGTGGCATTTCTGGAGGCATGCGCTTCGTGGGCACAGGCTACGCGGACGCGGACACCCCCGCCGTTTTTGGAGAGTCCCGCAGAAACAGAGTTTGCAGAGCGGGGTGTTTGGGTTCTGAGGAGTATATTGCACTTGCCGATACCGGGGTCACAGGGGTGGCTTCAAGGCCCGGAGCATACCGGCGGGATACTTGAACCGGTGGTAACATCGGGGTCCGGGTCCCCAGGCTCTTAGTTCGTCGGCTTGGTTTGTCGTTGTCTTAGGTTTTGTTTGGGGGGTCGATTTTCCCGCCCAATTCTGGAGACCCAATGTTGGATTGGAATCCAAAGGCAATGGATACCTTCCTTGCTCGAAATTCGCCAGTCTGAATGTGTGGTCTTCATGTGGACGAGTCAAATGTCCTGAAAGACGAGCTTCCATCCAAGCTGTGTATCCATCTGAATGGGGGAACCCCCAAAATGGGTTGGGTTGGTTCCTTTTGATTTTCCTTTAAAACCACCCCCTCATTCAACCGGGATCCCCCACAACATGAAGCCAAGACTGCACAAGTTCAAAGAAGTTGTCATATTTGCAGACGACCTAAGAACGAGTGACATTTGAAGGAGCCATGTCCTCTACCCTCCCTCCAATCATGAAGCTGACGATCCGAGCGTCTTGCAAGACTGTCTGCTTGGAAAAGGCCCTTATCCATGCCCATGATGTGTGGAAAGAGGCTACTCAGAGGTCCATATATGTTTCCCCCTGCGGTTTCAAGCATCGCCATTTTGACCCAATAGTTGAGTTCCCTTGGTGGGGGTGATGTCTAAGGGGCAAAAATGGGCGCGTCTTAAAATTCAGGACACCGAACGTGGCTATAGCTTCTTTATTGGTTTCCCCTTAGAACCACACCAAAAAAACGGGGCAGCATCCAACAAAAACGACACCAACATCTACTAGATCTCCCAGTAGTGCCCTTTTACCATTTTGTCGGGGAGGGTTCCCCTACTAAAGTAGACTACAGAAAACAATTGGGTACCCTTATTCTAACCTCTCTACTGGAGGACCTAGTCTAGGGATCCCTGCCTAACCTCCCCCGGTTTGCCACGTGCCACGCACTTCGCTTGCGAACGTCTGAGCTTCTGCTCCAGTTGGCGGACGAGAAGCCCGCGGTGTGCCTCGAACTCCTGCGCCGAGTGGAGGCCGTCGCCGCCCTCGTCTAGTGGGAACCGCCGGTTGGTTTCGGGGAACATGTTCGGTATGCCTTCTAAACGAAAGAAGAACGCGAACACTGAACGGCTTTGGGTTTCGGGTATGATAAGTTTTGGCTTGCTTTTAGTTTGAAGGGGAAACACGCTTTTCGAAGTTCACGCTTCACAGGGAAGTTCAAAGGCAGGGGCCAACATCTTGATGAGTCGCGCGAAGATGGGTGGCTCGTCTTTTTTGAAGGTAGCATTTGTTCAGTGGTGTTAAAGCACAACTAGAAGGAAAACCATCAGTTTGGAGGTCCCCAATCAACACACCCATGTCCCATGGCGAGTCTACCCTGTAAGCTGAGTTTATTTCTAATACCCCCTTAGATATATGATAGATCTATTATGTTTGTTTGTGTGTATTGTATTTGTACAGCTTGGTGCCACCTTGTTCGAAGGGCAGATGCGGTTGGTCCGTGCCCCCAGAGGCACGTAGTAACTTTTCTTGAGACTTCATTTGCTGAAGACCCTACGCAGGCATTTGACTGCCGTCCCTTTGCCTAGTTTGCAAGCTTGCCGCTGGCCTTGCGGAAGGGAGCACGCTCAGCCAGAAGGACACTGGGCTGAATCGATTGAAGGATGCGTGTTATTGTGCAGGGACGTGTTGTAGAGGCATAGATAGCACCCTACCTTGGCGGTGTTTGGCAAAACCGTTTCGCATCAGGTTCGGCCTTGGTGCAGACAGGCAAGGTTCAAGTTGCAGGTGCTGAGAAGAACTGGGAGCTTCCCAAGGCATCCCTTGCCTTTTGTGAGTGTTTGCTCAATCAAATGTAGGTCATTCCACCTGGTATGCCAAGCTTTTCCTGGTTGTTCGGTGGCATCCCTTTGCCTTTTTGTTTGGTGGGTTTTACCAGACATGTAGATACATTATATATATATATATGTACACATAGATCCCCAGCAAAGGTTCCGTGCTTTTTCCAGCGTCGCTGGACAACTCTGCGCCTTGGAGGCGGCGGTGTCGGCTTTGTCCTGGTCGGATGGAGGCCGCAGACCCAAAGCGTTACCCTCGGTTTGGACTGAGTGGGTGTGGGTGTGCTTTTGCTTGGGATACCCTTTCCAGGATGCTTGATGTCCTCTATTCTGACACCCCCATCGCTTCTTTCGAGTTACCAAGATTCCTTGGCATTGGTTGCGTGGCAAGTTTCCGACAAGAATGATCCCTGGGCGTTGACATTTTGGGGCAAGTAAAAACAGCCAGAAAAGTCGGTGTCCCTTCTGGGAGGGTTCTCAACAGAAACTGGTGCGCCGTCAAAAGATGCTTGAACTACTCGGGTGTTTCAACTAAAATCGGGGGTGCCCGTGTCAGATGGTTTCTAACCCTCAGAGCCGGGTGGGGTCGGCATTTAAAGACATACCCACAGGTTCTTTGTTTTATCAACGCGAGCTGGTGATTGCAAACATGAAGTTCATTCATTGCTGGACGCCAAATTAGTGCTGCTTGATCCCCAGCCCCTTCAAAACGGAAATGGGGGACCTCTTGAATTCCATGAGTAGAGACGCCCCCCACCTCGTTGAGTTAGGAGAGTTTTGAGGGATATAAGATATGGCTCGATTTATGGCACATCCCACTGAAAGCTTAACTTTTGGCAATGGATCCCTTCCATTTGCTTAAGACTATTTTTCTATTTCCCTTTGCTGGTTTTGAAGGGAATCTATCACTACTGGATAAATATGTCTTATTATTTCCAGGGGGCGAAAAAGCAAATGGGGGGGGATTTTTATTTGCCCGAGGCCCCTTGCTTTGCCCCAAGTTCGGCATGGCAGCTGTGCGGGGCCCGGGCCATTCGAGGCGAAAAAGGAGCTCAGTTCAAAAAGCGCCTCTTCTCAGTTCATGGTTGTTGTTGGGAAGCAATTGTTTGCCATGTTTGCTTATTGTCATTGTTGTGGTTTTTCGTGGTTGAAATCCAAGCACTGAACTGCCAAAAAATGAGAATTGTTGCTCCCCTGAAAATACGTCAACCAAGATTTGGCTGTGGGTCAAAACCGTTTTGGTAGTGGGTGCGCCACTCATTTTAGTCTATTTCATTGGGGATTAGGATGTTCACTGGCCATTTGTTGGCCGGTTCCGTCTTTGAATGGAACCTTGGCGAATGGGCCACTGAGCGTGGCTTTCGGGGGTGAATGTAGAAAGGCCGGTGTGTTTGGACGACTGTGCCGAGCAAAAAGTAGATACGGTTCATTCCGTAACATTGCAGGGTGTTTCCCTTTTGCTCGTCAATCTTTGAGTAGCCAGCCGCATCAAAAGAATAATGGTGAATCTGGTATGAGCAGCCACAAGGAAAGGTTTGCATTACTCCCCTGCAAAACGTGCCCTTCCACCAGAAAGAAAAGAAGACACACACACACACAACACAAAACAAAACACGTGTTGCAGCGCTTCTTGACCCGTTTCTCCGAACCAATGTGGAGTCCCTTGACTGACCTAATAAGCATGTGGTCAACGCCACTGTACGCTATCAATGCCGAAATACGTCTTTCATCCTCATGCACTTACAGGAAGATCGCAAGATGTCCGTGTCGTGTTCACATGTTTGAATTCATTTTTCCACACATTGCTTTGCTTTTTGTGATTGTTGCATATCCTGACTTTCAAACTGTCAGAGTCAAATCCTAGGTATTGTATTGCTTTGATTTGGTGGCGGCGAGCGAAATTCAACTCAGCTGTCCGTCTCAGGGATTGAACACATGAAGGCTTCCAGGACCCTGTGTTGGCTTGTTGCCTTGTAAGACTCAACCCCAGCCTCCTGTCAGTCGGACGAAATCCGTCAGTGCAAAGGTCTACGACGGCGGTGGCAGCTACTACGCTGCCCACCGCGACAACGAGCACACGGGCCATGCGGAACGGCAATGGGTGCGCTGCGGGATCACTGCGCGGGTCGGTCGGTCGGTCGCAAGTAGCGCCGTTGCGGGTGTGTCTTTTGTCAGGAGGTTGAGCCACAATCAAAACCTGGGTATCCTGCAGGTGATGACACTTCAGATCTCAACCATTACTAGGTGCGGCCATCATGCTAATTGTTGAATTGCTTTTTTGGATATACTCCGTGAATGCCAGTTGTTGATGGTGACTCAGTGTTGTTTCAGGCAGACCGGGTGGATGGGCATCAAACAAAGATGAAGTCTTGCGTGAACGTTGGTTGTGCCGGGGTTCCACATGGCAAGCGGCTGAACCTAAAAACGGAAGCTTCCCTACAGGCTGCATGGTGGAACTTGCAGCTGATTCAAACTCTCGGGGAGGTTGCGATGTTCATAAGTTTTGTACGTCGTGCTAAAGGACCAACGTTTTGTGAGTTTCCAGTGCAGGCAGCTACGTACAACAGAGGTGTTTTTTTTTTGTTTGAGAAGTTTCTCCTATGAAATCCTTCCTGGGCGAGGTCTTTGCCAAGGACGGGGAAACCAAACCATTTAGGACTCGCTGCAACTGAATGTGGCCAACCCTGGCTCTCGAGCGATGGCAACTGGCGAATGGCAGAAATGTATGCTAGGACCTGGCATTGATCAGTTAGCATACGATTTTTCCACTCGCCAGTTGCCATCGCTCGAGAGCCACAAGGTCCCCTTCGAACAAGGCGCTCGGTAGTCTTTTGTGGGGCTTGACTTCTGCCCCTTTTTGACCACCACCTTGAAGTTAGCTTGCTGGGGTAAGGAAGCATATCTGTGCCAAAAGAGGAACCCCCCAAAACGGCCAGCCAATTGCCCATGTCATGTGGTTTCGCTTGAAACCACCTCCGAAGAGAAAAGAGAGACCCCACGCCAAAGTGCGCGGTTGGCTCGCCTGGCCGAGGGGCGAGCCCTTGGGATGGTTTTAAGAAATGAAAGCCCTGGGGCTCAACCCCCATTCAAAGAACGGTTGACCCAATTTGGATGATGAAAATCCTTGGGTGAATAATGGTGGCTATATTAACCCCCATTGTTTTAATGGTGGTTTGAACCCCAGGGAAAGGAACGCATTTTTGTCGATTCGTGACTCGAAGCTTTAGTCACTTCTCGGGCTTGTGGCAAACATAAAGTTGCGCGACGTTTTTGGCCCGTCCACGCGCTTTTTTGGATTGATCACACAGCTAGTATGGGTGTGTATTTTTGTCTGGGCGACCCTCAAAATGGTGTGTTTCCTTTTGGCGTCCCTTTAAAACGACAGTTGAGGTGCCTTTGAGGCAAACAAATGTTTGTGTCCTTGGTTTCCTTTCCTGGCCGAATTTCTTCCCTTGCAGCAGCAATGGCTGTCAGTCAGGCTTTTTCTATATTTGCTTTTGGTTTCCACTTGAAACCAAACCAACGCGCTTCCCAAAAAAAACAGTTCTTCTACTTGCCACTATAGGTAACCAGGGTTTTGTACCTCTAGGCTTGACATGCTTGTTTCTCCTGTTGCCTTGTCTTGTGGCGAAACGCTCTGGGGGAGAAAACACATCATGAGCGTGTCCTTTCGTAGGTGGGACGCCCGAAAAAATCAAATTAGGGGGTCCACACGTCAACATAGAGGCTCCCTCTGTCAACATCAGGGACCCCCCCCAAAAAAACCATGTGGTGTTTTTTTGGATTTCCCTTTGAAGCAGACCCCACGAAAAATTATGGTGTTCCCGGAAGCACAGAGCACTTCGGACTTCGGGGAGGTGAACTTCCGATCCCTCACCGCGGTGATCTACGTGAACCCCTCCGGCTTCGAGTCTGCGGAGGCGGAAGCTACGCTCGAAGCTCCGAAGCCCCCTTTCGCGGAGCCCAAGGACCCCATCCCAGGGTCTCAAAGGAAAAAGGTAGGGGTGAAAGAGAAGACCAAGAACGCCATGTGTTTGAATATATGTCTCTGAAGTTTAAATGGGAACCGACCGAAAAGTGGTGGACATGGATCCCCACAGAAATGATGTCCAGCAAAGGGTCCCTAAGTAGAATTCATACCCATATGTGTGGGAACCCTATGATTGCTACCCACTCTCCAATACTCGAAGAAAAGGAAAGTCGTCTTCGCGCAGCCTTGCGAAACCGTTGTGGGAAAGTTGGGTTTAGGGCAGATGTGACCCGAACAGTCCTGATGGAATTTGGGGCAGTCTTTAAAATGTGTCCTTTTGACACTACCGCTTTGTACGGGGAGCCCAAGGGTCCGCATCCTGTGGCCAAGATCCTGCACCACTTACTCGCATCATCGGAAACCATTGTTTTTGTCGGTGCTTACAGGGGAATCATCCGAAACCCGTGTTTCTGGACGGTGGTGCGAGATTTCGCAACCATCCACTGTCGGCCCCGGATGCTTCGGGGATATCAACTCCCTGACTTAACTGGTCCCCCAGCTAGGTGCCCTTGTACCGTGCCTTTTTTGGTTGGGAGGGTTCCCCTACTACAGTAGACTCAGAAAAAGATCGGGTACCCTGATTCTAACCTCTCTACTGGAGGACCTAGGCTTTTCTTGGCAGGTTGTTTGTGTGTGTGTTGGTTCATTCTGAGTTGGAGGCTTAAACGAAAAAGGTTTTCTACCATGACTACTGGTTAAGAACATGCTTTATTTACCCTTCCTCCAACTAACATGGCACCTGTCGGGTACCTGGAAGATAAATTTCCTTTTGAATGGGAGGGAGGGAGAGTACCCCCTACACCCAATACCCTCTTTTTTCCGGGTATCATGTCGACCCTCTACTAAAAAAGGAGGTATTTACCATGGAAACCCAGGTTTTCCCAAACAGACCCTAGAAAAAGTAGGGTATTTGGAGTGGGTACCCTTTGAAACTCGTCTTGGGATGTTCTCGCCTTCCTCGCGTCTAGGACGGCGGCCAGCTGCGGTGCCATCTCGGGGCGGAGCTGAAAGACCTCACGGGGGCTGGGAGGCCGAGTGCGGCAGGTTCCTGCTCACACGGGCGAATTTCTTTGGTTCGGGGCCCACTTTTATGGTCAAGACATGGTTCCAATTCTTAGGGAGACCCAAAGAAAGGAGTCATCATCATGGAAGGTTGAGGTGTGCTCAAAGGTGTGTGGCGGGGTTTAGATCAATCATCCGCACCCCATTAAACAAGGAATGGGGGACGGGGGGTGAGTACTGGATTCCATTCCTGGTGCCATGGTCCCTTTTCGGGCTTCTCAAGCCCATTTTGCCGCCAGAAGAAAAAGCAGCTCAAGCTCCCAAAAACTAAGCAAAGGCCAACTGATTGTTTCTTCTCAACTTCCATGTTCATAGGCTGAATCGTAGGTTGTCCAAATGCCGGGTCTCGGGTCTCGGCGGCTCTATGAATGTTGGTCCCAAGCGCGGATGATACTCAACCGAGCCACTGGCTTCAGCCAAGGTCTCAAGTGGTTGCAAACACAGGCGATGCATTTGATGGTAACCCTCAAGCAACTATGGTGGACATAATCCATGGTTGCAACCTTTTTAGACAAATTGTGGACTATGTAAATGTCCACCAAGGGGTCCCAAATTCACACCCAGATGCTTTTAGAGCTGCTTACACAGTCTTCGATGTCCCGATCCTTCGCATGCGGGCCGTGTGCAACACATGGGGTGGTACACGCCTATCTGAAGACTGTTGGGCCAACAAAAACAGGATACCCTCCCACCAATTAACATGGAACCTGACGTTCGCGGGTCCCCCGAAGGAAAATGGTCCAAACCAGGACCCCCTGAACGTCAGGTTCCATGTGGAAAAGGTGGGAGGGGAAGCCCAGGAAACACCCAGGCTAGTCTTGGATGAAGGAGCCACGAACTCACCCAAGTTTCTGACCAAATGGTGTTTCTGCTATGTTTTGGATGTGTCATGGTATTCTTTTTTGAGGGTACCCTTTTCTTGGATTGGTTTAAAAGAACAACCAAAAGAAAACCACCATTTTGGGGGGTCCCTGAAAACAGACACTCACACACTCGCACACATACACGCACACACCCACACACACACACACCCACACACACACACACACGCGCACCTTTTACGGTAGAGAAAGAAGGGCGGTTTCGCACGTTCTGTGATCTCTGGTGTAATGTTGACCCCCCGTTGGCCAACCAGTTGATTAATAGGGGGCCAATATTCTATTCGTCAAACCACCAGAACCACCAAAACAGGTTGGGTTCCGTTCTATTTCCCGTTCCTTTTAAGATAAACCTCAAATACACATCGACAAGCTGATATGTGTCTGCCGGGGTTATGGAGAGCTTTCTTTTGGGAGTTAAACGAGTGAAAGCGGACAGCCGATGATGTAGATCTCGGGGATTCCGTATTTCAGGCTTTGGAATCATCGTCGAGTGCAGTGTACGCTACCTTTGGGCTTAACGAATGAACTTGCCACAAACCATCATCCCCTTGTTCTCGCCGAGCAGTCCCCGAGTCCCTTTCTCAAGGCAAGCTTTCCAGGCGATTGGTGAAGCCAGACTGTGTACAAAATCCGCTTCGCACCACTTGGTAGGTGGTGTATTTGAGTATCATAGGGTTTCAGCCAAACTCATTCCAACTTCGAATCGGATTCTGTCCATCTTCAGAACTGGTTGAAACACGTCTTAAACACAAGCTCCCGAGTGAGTGGCACCCTGACGCTTTCAGCTGATAAGCTGAGGCCACCGCCAGCAAAGTCCAGGACGTTTGGATGGGTGGAGCATGCCTGGATTTGGCCTTCTCAAGATCTCCTTTGGTGGTCTTACTTCTTGAGTTCCTGTACATTTCCTCTTTTTTTGCTGGGGGGGAGGGACATATTTTGGTGGCAAATGAAAAGTTCAGTTACCTTTTTTGGCCCACTTTAATGGACCCAGTCTGGGGCATGGGATTCGGTTGGGGTCTCCTCTCATACTGCTCGCTTTACCGGTTGCCTAGCGAATGGGGAGTTGTTTGTAGGAGAAACACCAATTTGTACCTGTGCCCGAGAAGCATGTCCACTTGCTATTGCGCGGCACACCTGAAATATAATACTCCAACAAGGTTTCTATCCTTGGGGGAGTTGCGGCTGATTTGCCCTTTGACAAGAACGCACTGTGAAAGGCCCCTTGAATTCTTGGCGCGGGATGGTCGTCGATCCCTTTGTAACCCCGACTCGACCAGCGCACAACTCGACAAATTCTTGGCGCGGGCAGGACATTTCGCCCCGTGGGGGGAGAGCGGTACTGTTCCCCTCGCGGAGTGTCCTACATGAGGCAAGCGGCAAGGGACGATGGCGTGTCAAAGCAAGGTTGCGGAACATTAGGGTCGAGATTGTTATTTTCTGTTGTGTTTTCTTCTTAAAACAAGACTAGAGCCACTTTCTGTGGTATTTACCAAGGGAATCCCCAAGTAATGAAGCAGTCAAGGACACCCTCCACTGCAGTCGCTTTGGCTTACGGGAAAACAAAAGGGGACAAACACAACTTTGGAGGTCCCAGAGGAGTCGAAAGGCGGAGTCGCCAACTGTCCCGGGTCAAGAAAAGCATTTTCGAGGCCCCAAGCGTTCCAATAGAGCCCTCCAATGGAGGGTCCAATGATGCTTAGGGCGGGAAACATATTTCAAGCGTGGCTCGGGCGCTTTTTGGGCTGGTCGATTCCCTTGCCAGTGGCCAAGCTAATTACTCAAGCCATCGATAGCTTCGATCCTGGGTGAGATCGAAGAACCTTCTTGGGCGCGATAGGGATGGCCATCATGGCTTTGAAAGAGGCCGAGACAAATACTCAGATCAGGGTCCAAATTAAGAGTGGCCGCAGAGTGACCATTGCTTTTCTTGTTCTACCGTGCAGTGCCACTTCTGCAAACTTGTTTGGCGGGGGAACCCCACCCAAAGGCCCAAAGGCAAGCCCATGAAAGGGGGGTGCCTGTTGCCCCCAATTTGTTCAGCACCAGGTGGAGGGTGTCCAAAACTGCAGCATGCGTTGAGCTAAAAATGGGATCGTCCGTGTTGTGAAGTTGCGCATTTGATTTGGCAGATCCAACGCAGGACGACCTGTGTATTGTGGAATAACCGGGGTGATGCGAGTAAACTCAAGTCAACAACCAGCAGATTGCAGGAACACCGCGGCTTTCTACATTGGAGATGTTGGGATGAAATGACCCACCAAGCCGGGCATTGCTTCCATCAAATGCTCAGGAGTCTGGAAACCACCGATATGAAACAAATTGAATCCGGACGAACAACTCCATAGGCAAAGCAGCTAACAAAAACCCACGACCCCCTCCTTTGGCCGAAGGCTTGCGCAAGGGTCCCTTTTTTAGGGCTTATTTCAATTGAAAACCAAGGGACTGTTTTAAGACACACCCATGAACTAAAATGATGCTACCCCTTTGTTTGTACAGTTGTAGCACCATTCGGAAACTGTGCAAAATTTGACAAGTGCTGTTGCACTTCTAACTTCAGAGCCGGGACCGTAGCAAAGAGCTCGAAACCCTTTCGGCGTCAAAAGACGTTCAACAATTGTTCAACATACGTTCAAAAAGCGTTCGAAACCGGTTCTAGAGCGTTCGGAAGTGTGGTGACAATTTGGTCATATGGCGCTAGCAAACCCAAACGTGTGCAACAAAAAGTCCGTTCCAGGCTGAGTTTTGCGATTTGTCCATTTGGCGCTACAAGTGTAAATATTGAGCTAGCCTCTCCAATCAGCCAAGTGAAATCAGATCCTGCATCCAAGACGTCTCCGCCGTTCTTCCATGCTTGGAATGTGGCCCCCGTCGGCATTTTTGTGGTCGCATGTTCGGTCTTTGTTCTATTTGGGATTTTGTTTGTCTGGAGGCGCGCGTCAGAGTCTCCTTTGGAAACCAGAGGGGGAAGGCACTCCCACTAAAGCAATCCACCAATGGGAAGTGATATTACACCTGTGGCTGTATCTCAAATAAACCCCCCAGACCTTCGCTTTGAAGAGCGAGACCACCTCGGATTCAACATTTCCCCCTAACCACCCAGAATCCAAAATTTTGAAAAAATAAGAAGTTGCAAAATGGGACAAAGGGTTTTGTGTCAATGCGGACTCGCCAGGTGCTGCCGAGCTTCCGGCGCCGCTTCGCGCTGTCGCTCCTCGATGGATTCGCGCGAATCGCGCTCGGGCTTCATACTTGACCCGATGAAAAAGCCCGACCAGGTTAAAAAGCCCCTGATTAAAAAGCCCCTGACTAAAAAGCCCCTGATTAAAAAGCCCCTGACCAAAAAGCCCTGATGAAGTTGACTTAAGCCCCTGATTAAAAAGCCTTGCCAGGTGTTTGGGTCGGGGAAGTTTTCATGGAATGGGCTCTGGGAAAGGGGTGACAGCTTCGGGTTGCGGCATTGGGAAAGCTTCCCAAAAAAAACAGGTCTTCCCTTTGAAATTCTTTTTTTCGGGTGTCGGGTTGGGGGCCCAAGTTGTTCGAAGCCTGGCTATCCTACGAATTGCATGAAAACCCCGAATTTTCAAGTTCGGTCTTGGGTGCTTGGGGGAGCCCCATGGCTGGCTTCCAGCCTTTCAAATGCCTAAAACACGGGTGCCTTCAAAAAGGGTTTTTTGAGGTTTCCCTTCTGGCTGACCCTTCTCAACCGCAACACAGCGGCTTCGTGCTGAGGCTTTGGTTTGTGTCACCTCGAGCTGGACAAGACTGACCTCGACCCGACTCGCATGTGCGGGCCGGAGAGCTGCGGTGTTCCTTTTTTTCGATCCCAAAACGGGTAGACCCTCAAGAAGGCGACCTGTAACTGTTGTATCCTCTTGGTAGCTCAGCTTGGCGAATTGTTTGCGATGTGTCTTTTTTCCAAAAAAAATGGGTTTGAGCCTCAAAGAAGGGACTCCAAAAGGTGATTTTCCTTTGGCTTCCCTCAAGAAAGAGAAACCCGAAAGCGTACCCTTACAAAACAAAAACACACACGCAATATTTCCCCTTTTCTTCTCAAGCTCGTCGAATCATTCCCTGTACTCAAGCTTCCAAACTGTCGCAAGCGCGATCCAATCTTCCCCCATTTGCTCCAGACAGGTTAGCACAGACAGGTCGTTTGATCCCTTTGATGCCTTTCTGCGGCAACCAGTTGAATCCTGCTTGGGTCATTTGCGCAAAGATCCATGATTCTCCAAACCTTATGACGATTCGAAGACACGGGTAGAACATCGGGGTTGGGTCCTCTTGGTCTTCCAACAGGGCCCATGTTCTACTACCGTGACACGGTGCTTGACTTGCCAGTGCGACGGGCTGGGAATGCGAGGATGACCTTGTATTAAAGATCCCTTGTGGTTTCCTTGGAAATCCCATGAACGGTTCATTTCAAAAACTGCAACGATTCCCGGAGAACCAACCAGTTTTCTTTGCGCCAAGGCGGGACATCGTTCTGATCAGCTCTCGACACGGCGGGGGAAGGGGGGGGGTGAAGGGAATCAATGAATCTGCCAATCCCGCAAAGTGGAGTTGTCTTTTTAGTGTCCCTTACTTGGGGTTGCTTGAAACGAAGTTCCAGGGAAAAAAAAACATGTTTCTGTTTTGGGGGGTGAGGCGGCTGCGTTAGAGGCTAAGCCGTGTTTGTTCCTCTCTTAACAAAGCCCAGGCCCCATGTGGGTATGGGTCAAAATTAAGCCACCATGGGACCACAGGTTTAGTCCATGGTTCCATTTACCAGGGTTCCCATTTTGGGTACCTATTTTTGACCCACACCCATGTGGCTGGCCATAGACCAGCACTTTTACGCCTGCCTGCAAGCCGCAGGCGTAGAAGCATGCGGTCGCCTGGCTGGGACTGTTGGAACTGGGCTTTGGCTCTGTTCAGAGATTTGGGCCATGACCCCTTTCTTTTAGGTGACCCGCCCAGTTTGAAAGGGTCATGGAAACTTCAGGTTGGTATATGGCTGTGGGTCAAAAGCAATGGGATCCTATGTTGGGGTTTTCGGTGCACAAAACCCATTTTAGAACCCCCATTTTGGGGTGGTGCCCGCCCATTTTAGTCTATTTTAGTGGGGATTGGGATGTTCACTGGGACGATTTGGATTTTGACCCATGGCTATTTGTTTAAGGCACCTTTTCGAAAGTTGATTTGAAGGGAAGTCAAAGGACCACCATGAGGATCCATCCCCCTACTGTGGATGGACGAAATCCTGCACCACTTTGACACCGTGAGAAACCATTGTTTGTTGGCATTTACCGGGAATCATCCTTCCAGGCTTTCTTAGGTGGTGCAGGATTCTGTCCATCCACAGTATTTGGACCACCATGAGGATCCATCCCCCTATTTGGAGGTGATTATGCCCATGTTGAGGCTTTCTCTTTGGGACCGTGACATGACCCAAGGCCTCCATGCCCGGATGAATGCTGGAAAGCTTGTGTTTGTTTGAGGGAGGTCTCGTAGAGTCCGTCCAGATGCCCTTTTTGTTGGGGGGAATTTCTGGGGCTTAGGATTCTGGGATCTTGATGCAGGTGTGAGTGCCTGGCCAACTTAAAGCTTCTCGTTTCTCCAATGCTCGTGGTTTCAGCCCGTCCCTTGCCATCGTTAAGGGATCCCTTGCGATCCCTTTTCAACGGCCTCAGGTCCTTGGTGCAAGAAGTAGACATAGAATGAACCCAATGGCTTCGGTCGAGTGAGAAGGAAACCGCAAGAGTTGGACACATTGGACGGTTGTTGCATGCAACTCAGGGACCCTGCCGACACCAGCAAGAAGAGCGAGAAAGAAGAACCAAAGTGGATCCAGGCGTTCTTTGTTGGAATCACTGGATGACCTTTGTTCAGCAACTCGCATGGAAACAATCAGTCCTTCTCATAGGATCCGTTTCGTGGAAACATATGGAGTCGGTTTATTTAAGGTGAGTTCAATGCTACGTTGGATGCCAAGAATCTATAGCCCTGGTTGACTTGAATTTATTCTGGTGTTGCAGCCACGCGATTCGCTCGGTTTTCTCTGTGGGCACGAGCATGCAGAAAGTTCTGCACTATTCCTAAAGTTTCCCTAAAGTACAGCACTGTTCGGCTCCTGCATGCAGAAGTGCTGTACTGTCCCTGAATGTTGGGTCTTGGGCAGCCAGATTTGAAGCACTGTTGGGCACGAGCATGCAAGGAGTGCTGTACTGTCCCAAAAATCTGCTTTGGGCGGCAAAGTGCTATGCTGTCCCTAAAAACTTGTTTTTAGTATTGATGCCCAAGACTGGTTTTGGCATGCCATTTTAGGCTTTTTAGGGATTGTGCAGCACTTTGGGCTTCCAAAGCTTTGTTTTTAGGAGCAATACAGCAGCACGAGCATGCAGAAAGTGCTGTACTGTCCCTAAGAAGCTTATTTTTCGGTACGGATGCTCAAGGCTGGTTTTGAGATGAGATGTTAAGTTCTTTAGGGATAGTACAGCACTTTTGGCTTTCAAAGCTTGGATTTTCGGGGCAGTACAACAGTTTTGGGCTTTTGTATGCAGAAAGTGCTGCACTGTCTTGAATGGCGTGCTTTGGAGAAGCCGACGCATAATTTCATTTGAGACGCAGGGGCTGTCTTGTGTGGGTTGGATTAGGATGTTATAAAAGAGGCCCAGGGGTCTTGCTTGAGCCAATTCAGGCAGTTTGCAGGTTCTTTTGGGCCCTTGAAGCCGCTGCTCAGCCCAAGTTGTTTTCGAGACAAGTCCGGGACCTTTGGCCGTCAGGCGCCAATCGCGAAGATCAAGTGACCACGCGCGCCTTGCGGGACGGAGCTTCCGCGTCAGAGCTTGCGGATCTGTGAGCTCCAGCCGAAGCCAGGCGGCTTGATGGCCTCAGGCTTGCTAGGCAAGCTCCCCTGGTCTGCGCCAGTAGGTGGTTTGTCCCATTCGGGTTTCTGACCTCGGAATTGGTAGATGGTTTTTCCCAAAAGGTTTCATCCACTGGTGCTTCCATAGAGACCACGGTTCGTTTTGCGCAGCCCCGAGAGGCCCTTGTGCGCAGCCAAGCCCAAAAGCCCAGCAAGCCTCTCGGCGGCGCGGGAACCTTTTGCATCCGGAAGGCAAAGGAAGCAGAAAGAGGCGGAAGAGCGTTTCGGTGGATGCACAAGGAACAAGACGACGTGAATTACTACCATTTGCTGAGATTTTGTGCTAAAATCGGGTTACCTCAGCGTGTGTGTACAGCATCCACCGAAAGGGGCAGAGTCGTCGAAATTTGGCGCCTTCGAGCGAGGAAAGGTGAGCCTGGCGTTTGAACCCAGGGGCAGTAACTGTGCATGACTCTCGGGGGGGAGAGTTGAGTGGGGAATTCTAGGGGTAACTTCCTCATTCTTTCCAGGGATCCTTTTGCTTTCTAGAAAAACCACCAAAAACCCTGGGGAAATGGCGATCGGTTTCTGACAAGGACGATGGCTGAAAAGAATGAAAAAAAAATCAACTTTTCGAGGACTGGCGATTTCTCGCAGTTTGGCACAAAAGTTGTTTCCTCAAGCTGCAGGTCGTCAGGTCAGGGCCGAGCCCCAAGAGGATGGCCCAACTACCTGCCATGGCCTATGGCCAGGTGGCGCGGATGTTCTACGACGAGCTGCCCAAGGCGACCCAGCCCAGTGGGTTGCTTCCTTTTTCCTGTTGTTGTTTTTGGGGAAGGGTTTCCCTTTCGAGTCAAGCAACCGAAAAAAACGGGGCCCTTTTTTGGGGCTTCTTAAAAGATACCTTTTGCCCATTTGAAACATGGCCTTTTCCACCAAGATAAAGGGAAGCCACCATTTACGAGGCAATGTTCAGGTGTATAATGTAAGGATCCCTGTTTTTTTTTCCCATGGAAATCCACTGGGCGTCTGAGGTGATGCAAGAGGATGAGCTGCTCTTGAAGAGGAGGATCCAGGAGCGCGTCGAGAGGATGAAGCTGGACGGACCACAGGTGCTGAAGATACTGGTTGATGCATGCCAGCCGGGTGCCAAGTCCCTGGATGAAACTCAGTTGTTCAGTGGCACCCATTGTGTTCCCTCTTTTTTTTTGGTGGCTGCCCCATTCAAAATGGTCTTCCAAAAAAAGGGTTCCAATTCTTTTTTTCCGGGGTCACTGAACAACTGAGGAAAATGAGACTTTTGTGGAACTCTTCAAAGACACCGAGCAGCTCTTTGCCAATGCAATCACAGCCACTCGCTCTGCCCAGGTCTTTGCCCAAACCATGTTCAAGAAGGTGGTCTTGTCATCCTGTATTTGCGAAGAAGACCGCAGGGTCATTCAGGCGTATTGGGACCCGTACCGTGATCCGGCCTATGACAGCGCCTTTTTGACAGACGAGCTATGGTGCATCCAGTGTGGACACCCACAGCTACTGACATACGATTCAAAGATTGGATGCCCAGGAGAAGGAACAAAGGCGTTCCACGGATATCAAGTTTGCCCTCAGGGCTGGATAAAGCTTGCCGTCAAGACCAAGCGTGCACCCTCTGAGTGGCTCGAATGGCACAAAGCATATCATGGAACCTGCCTTCGGAATGTAGACCTCATTCTTGAACAGGGTTTGAAAATACCCGAGAAGGCCGTTCATGGAGCAGCTGGCGCAGGCGGCAAAATGGTGATCTATGCATCGCCATGTGTTGAGTACTCAGCCCATTTCCTCTACACTGGCCAAAGCACCGTATGTCAGCACAGCCTTGAACAGGTCCGCGAGATCGAAGGAGACTCCAAGTCCTGGGTGCAATACGTCTTCGAGGTGCGGGTCCGTCCGGGATCCTATCGCGTGCAAGGGAACACCTTGCACGAAACACTCTGGCCGGAAACGACTTTGGAATTCGACCTGATGTGCAATTCCAAAAGCTTGGAATGGATCATTGAGAAGGAGGAGGACGTTGAGATCACTGGAGTCCTCATCCGGCAGCTGCCAAAGGCACCTGCGGACTGGAACAAGGAGCGGATTGCCAGGATGAAGCAGCATGTGGAGTGGAAAGATGGCTGCGCCACCCGTAACTCAGTTGTTCAGTGGAACCCCTTTTTCCCCTTTTTTTTGGGTGGCTGCCCCACTAAAAATGGTCTTCCCAAAAAAGGGTTCCCTTTTTTTCCCAAGGTCACTGAACAACTGAGGTAAACGAGACCATGGCAAAGATCCCGATAGCAAAGTCGCCCCTCGCGAAGGCAAGTGGCAGTGGAACGCCTCCACGACCACATTGAGCCGTGCTGATGACCAAGATTGGCGAGACTACGGTCAGGACATCAGCCAAGCCATCGAGGGAGCCTACTTGGCGTACCAGCGCTTTTGCTTCATCGGAGATTTAGGGGGAAATCCGTACGTGATTGATTTCCAGAGCTGGTGCAACGCAGGGGGAGAAGGTCCCATTCAGTTGCGCGCAGACAGTGGCAACCAAGAAGGTTGGCGCCAACGTGCAATTCGGCGAGTTCCGAAAGAGTCATGATTGGCCTCGTTGAGGTTTGATCTGGCATGCCCTACCGCACAGGGGCAGCCAAAATTTTCCGCAGATTGCACTCTGCAGATTTGCCGTGGAGGAAAACACATGCTACGGTGGCCGTTGAATTGTCTAAACCCTAACAAGCCGTGAGGAAACCCTGTGAAAGGAAGATGGCTAATTCTGAAATTCAGCATCACCCGCTCAACGACTCAAGGAGAATGATTACGTGCCCCGTCTCGGCACATGACCCCAAGTATACTGCAATGTATTCGCCTTTGTGCCATAGCTTGGGATTGTCTCCAAATGGGTCAGAGGCCCAAAAGGGCGGTCAGCCTTTGGCGAAGTAAAGCTTTCAGGTCAACGGGCCGTTGGAATTTGTAGGTCCCGAAATCCCATGTGGAGTGAATCTGGAAGGTGCGTGCGGCCCTCCCGCAGGGGAGCGTCTAGACTCTAAAGTGTCAAGGCTCGAATTTGAGGTTGCAAGCGTGGTGCTTGACAGACATCATGATTCAAGCCAGACATGTTGGGCTTTGAATGCCGCTGGGGATGGTATCATCCTTGCAGTTTTGGGCTCAAGCATGACAGCATGCGACTTGCGCTTTGCACGCCATAACAAAAAAAAAAAAAAGAAAAAAAAGAAAAAAAGATGCAGTTGCCGCGGCACCCGAAAACCAGTGCTGTGAGATCGATTTGAGCTTTGAGCTACATAGAAGTACAATGCATGAACATGAGAGACACCTCAGAGACAAAACGCCATCTCGGCGTCGCACTCCTTCGTTTTCGGCTTCATGGCGCCCAAGCGCATCCGCCGGAAGCGGGGGGAGACGCTCAGCCGCACCAAATTTGGCCCTCAGATTGTTGATACTGTCTCCACTTGTATCGAGACTTGGCTGCGGTTGTCAGTTGTCAAAACCGTTTTGGGATTCCATTTGGGGTGGTAGGTGAATTCACCACCCATTTTAGAACCTATTTTAGTGGGGATTGAATCGGATGTTCACTGGGGGTACGGGCTTTTGACCCATGGCCACTTGGGTCAAAAGACGGTCTGGATTTGCGTGTTTGCTGGTATTTGCCTGTTCTTCTTCCTGTAGGTTCTTTCTGAGTGCTCTTTTGGTACTCTTTTAATCTCGTACAGGGGGTGGTTCCACAAAAGCCACATCCGAACCGTTTTATAGAGTACGAGAAGAGGGGCCATAGAGTGAAGCCTGGTATCTGCTGAATGTCCAAACGCAATGGCTATTTCTTGGGCCCTTTCATAGCGTAGCCAAAGCGAGGAAAACCCAAGTATGGTCGATGGGGTTGTTGTGCTGGTACCGGTGTCCTTGGTGAAGATGGACAGAATCGGAGGCGACGTTTTTGTTTTTGTTCAGTCTTGTTCTATCATGGGGGGGGGCTGCGCCCCCCCCCCCAAACCCCCCCGCCTATGTTTGGCGAAGCCCGACGTTTTCGTCGTCCTTGTTCAGTCTTGTTCTATCATGGGGGGGGCTGCGCCCCCCCAACCCCCCTGCCTATGTTTGGCAAAGCCCCAAAGTTTTCCGTTGTTCTTGTTCAGTCGGGTTCTATCATGGGGGGCGCTGCGCCCCCCCAACCCCCCTGCTTATTCTTTGGCGAAGCCGGACGATTTTCGTCCTCCTTGTTCAGTCTTGTTCCATCATGGGGGGGCTTGCGCCCACCCCAACCCCCCCGCCTATGTTTGGCAAAGCCCGACGTTTTTCGTTGTTCTTGTTCAGTCGGGTTCGGGTTCGAATTCGGGGTTCGGGTTTAGCCGGGTTCGGGTTCGGGCTCGGGCTCAACCTCCTAATTTTTTGGTTGGGGGGGGGGGTGGGGTGCGGGTTCGGGTTCGGGTTTAGCCCCTTTTTTTTTTTTGGGGGGGGGGGGTCGGGTTCGAGTTTGGGTTCGGGTTCGGGTTCGGGTTCGCTTTTCTCTTTTTTTTGGGTTCGGGTTCGGGTTCGGGGGCGGGTTCGGGTGTTATTTTATTTAAGGGCTGCCGCCCAGTGCCGCCGACCCCTGGATTTAGTTGTGGTTTTGGAGCACAAAAAACAGTGCCCTTGGTATTGGTTTCTTTGGTTTCTTTTGGGTGAAATGTTAGTGGCCCCAAAAGGCTAATCTTGTATTTCAGGGTTTTGTTTGCATTTTTGAAGACACGAACAGGGACTGTGACTTGCTGGGCAACAAATGATCCCTGTCATGATCACTATCATCGTAGCATCCTCTGCATTACCAAGGGTGCCTAGCGATGATCATGACTACGCATCACTATCGAAACGGCACCTCGCCTCAGATGCCATTTGTGTCATTGAGATTTGGAGTCCTGCCTTGATGATAATCATCACTACGCATCATTCGCAGCATCTGTGGCAATCATGAGGATAATCATCACTACGCATCCCCAGCATCTCCAGCAGCGATGATCATAATCATGACTACGCATCACTGTCGAAACGGCACCTCGCCTCAGATGCCATTTGGGTCATTGAGATTTGGAGTCCTGCCTTGATGATAATCATCACTACGCATCATTCGCAAGAAACCAAAGAAACCAAAACCAAGGGCAGTGTTTTTGGTTGCTCGAAAACCACAACTAAATCCAGGGGTCGGCGGCACTGGGCGGCAGCCCTTGAACAAGAATGAGATGATGATGAGCATCATGATGATGATGAGAAGAGCGATGACATCATAATAAGGATGATCATGATGATGATTATGATGATAACTATCATCGTAACACCCTTTGCATCACCAGTGCTGCCTAATAAGAGATGATGATGACCGTGATGATGATGATGACAAGGATGAGGACTGTGATGATAACTATCATCGTAGCATCCTCGGCATCACCAGTGCCGCAGTGCCGGCTACTAAGAGACGATGATGACCATGATGATTACGATGACAAAGACGAGGGCTGTGATGATATATATCATCGTAGCATCCTCGGCATCATCAGTGCCGGCTAACAAGAGATGATGATGACCATGATGATAGTGATGATAAGGATGAGGACTGTGATGATAACTATCATCGTAGCATCCTCTGCATTACCAATGGGGTCTAACGTTACTATTGAAATGCATGGTTAATCAGTGCCGGCTAATAAGCGATGATAATAACCATGATGATAGTGATGATAAGGATGAGGACTGTGATGATAAGTATCGTCGTAGCATCCTCTGCATTGCCAATGGGGTCTAACGTTACTTTTGAAATGCATACAAGAATAAGAACAAGAATGAGATCATGATGATCATGATGATGATGATGAGAAGAGCGATGACATCATAATAAGGATGATCATGATGATGATTATGATGATAACTATCATCGTAACACCCTTTGCATCATCAGTGCTGCCTAATAAGAGAGGATGATGACATCCTCGGCATCACCAGTGCCGGCTAATAAGAGATGATAATAACCATGATGATAGTGATGATAAGGATGAGGACTGTGATGATAAATATCGTTGTAGCATCCTCTGCATTGCCAATGGGGTCTAACGTTACTTTTGAAGTGCATATAAGAATAAGAACAAGAATGAGATGATGATGATCATAATGATGATGATGAGAAGAGCGATGACATCATAATAAGGATGATCATGATGATGATTATGATGATAACTATCATCGTAACACCCTTTGCATCACCAGTGCTGCCTATGGTGATGATCATCATGATGATGATGAGAAGAGCGATGACATCATAATAAGGATGATCATGATGATGACTATGATGATAACTATCATCGTAACACCCTTTGCAAGTAAGAGATGATATTTAACCATGATGATAGTGATGATAAGGATGAGGACTGTGATGATAACTATCGTCGTAGCATCCTCTGCATTGCCAATGGGGTCTAACGTTACTTTTGAAATGCATATAAGAATAAGAACAAGAATGAGATGATGATCATCATGATGATGATGAGAAGAGCGATGACATCATAATAAGGATGATCATGATGATGATTATGGTGATAACTATCATCGTAACACCCTTTGCATCACCAGCGCTGCCTAATAGAGATGGTGATGACCGTGATGATACTGAGGACTGTGATGATAACTATCATCGTAGCATCCTCGGCATCACCAGTGCCGGCTACTAAGAGACGATGATCCTCGGCATCACCAGTGCCAGCTAATAAGAGATGATGATGACCATGATGATAATGATGACAAGGGACTGTGATGATAACTATCATCGTAGCATCCTCGGCATCACCAGCGCCGGCTAATAAGAGATGATGATGACCTGATGCTAGTGATGATAAGGATGAGGACTGTGATCATAACTATCGTTGTAGCATCCTCTGCATTGCCAATGGTGTCTAACGTAGCATCCTCGGCATCACCAGGGCGGCCCGAGACTTACCCCACGGGCCCAGTATCCCTAGCACTCCTTGTGCCGAAAAGTAAGGGGCTCATTTTTTGAGATAGCGCCCCCTGCGCCCAAGCCTAAATGAGTCCCCTGTGTGGCAGCTACAATGGGCCAGAGCGGGGCGTTAAGCCCCAATCTTCAGGGGCCGGGGGGGGCAGTCATCATGATCATCATGTCCACGCAGCTTTTGCATGTCAAACCCTCTCTGACACCACAATTGAAACGTGTATCAAAAAATAAGGATGATGACGAGGATGATGATGTTGAAGGATATAGAAATGATGATGATGATGATGTTGAGGATAAGAATGATGAAGGATCATATCGATGATGATGATGATGATGATGGGCATCCGTAAGATGCCAGTAGCCATATGCTTGCCTCAAAGATTAATCCATGCGCTTGTACTGCAACCACCCTTCCCGTGCGCCTCCCCCTTTGAGGAGAAGGGGTCGGCGGATTTTGTGGGTGGGGGCTGCGCCCCCCCCAATCCCCCCGCCTATGTTTGGCAAAGCCTAACGTTTTTCGTCCTCCTTGTTCAGTCTTGTTCTATCATGGGGGGCGCTGCGCTCCCCCAAACCCCCCGCCTATGTTTGACAAAGCCCGACGTTTTCGTTGTTCTTGTTCAGTCGTGTTCTATCATGCGGGGGGCTGCGCCCCCCCCCAACCCCCCCGCCTATGTTTGGCGAAGCCCGACGTTTTTCGCCGTCCTTGTTCA